AAGAAATGGGAAAGTTATGGAAAGTTAAGTTATGAAGTTATGGGGTACCAATGGGTACCACGTTGTCAAACAAGGCCACATGCGATCCAAAGGTTTCTCGCGCGGTTGGATGTGATTTTCCAATAGGAGTCCCACAGTTTCATTCTGCACTGCCAAATTGCTGAAACGATCAGAAACGGAGGTCACATTCCACGGTTAGAACATGGTAGAACCATGACTGATTCTTGTTTCATATGGTTAAGATTGGTTAAGATTTGCCCTTAGTGGTTGCCCTCAAAGGGATCTTTTTTGGTAATCGGTTCCACGCCTTGGTCTCTCAAGCACCTCGAGTGGTCTGTCGGACCCAACATGGCCCAACGAGGTGATGGAAAACTTTAGATCGATCAACGAATGGTGCAAGTTCTGCAAGTTCTCAACATTCTTTGTAAGAAAAGATCAACTCCAGTGTTCTGCAAGTTCTCAACATTCTTTGTAAGAAAAGATCAACTCCAGTGGCGAAGAATTGAAATTCATTGAACATTGAAAGATATTGAAAGTAGTACCATCACCGAATCACCGAATCTGCCTACTGGACTTACTTGACTTGATGAATTTAAACTTTTGAAACTTTCGGTTTACCCGTTTACCGTTGAACTTGGGGATACCCTCGACTTCGCCACTTCGCCACTTCGCCTCCAACACCTGACGTTGAGTGCGTTGAGCCTGGGTGATGCGGGGCGACTGGGCATCCCAGTAGTGCACGTTTCTCGGTGTAGGACGTGGTGACGCTCGGGAAAAAAACTCGTCACATTTTGTGGTCTGCAATTCTGGTCATCTCATCCAATGGTCCAAGAGTTGAAGAGTCTATATCTAGATCTAGATCTATATCTACTTGTATCTATCTATCATTCTATATCTGTCTCTATCTGTCTCTATCTATCTATCTATCTACCTATCAATCCATAGCTATAAAAGTGCTGGAAAGTCTAAAAGATCTTCCAAGCCTTTGTCACCTATGGCAGGTTCCCTCAACATCTGGTGGTTCCGATATTCCACACCTGCTCTTCGATCTGTTTGCACTCATGCATGATCTTCTGTTCAGGCTTGCCTGGGGACGGTGCTGGCACAACAGAACCCACCATTTTTATCATTTTTCGTAATCCATTTATTAGCCCAATATTCCTCAGTTCATAGCAGATTCTTATATCATCATCATCATCGTCATCATCATCATCATCAAAAATGATTCAAACACCGATCCAGATAACCATCAACATTATCACACCCACCAAGCCATCAAGAAAGAATCTCCACGCCCATCTCCGCCTGAGTTGGTGTCAGGCAGTCTCTGCAGCACTTGATCCACGACCTGATCACTAGCACCTTGGTGATCGGTGACTTTATGGCACATCGGAAAGATCATTAAGCTGCGGATGTAGGGTATACGGGTATACGGATGTGGTGTGTACAGTTTTTTTATGACAATTTCATAATGTCATCATAATCATTGTGGTGAACATTTGGTGCTTTTTAGTGGTAAATGATCCGATCTGTGGTGGTTCATATCCTCACTTCTAATCCATAATTATCCACTTTGCTTAACCTGCTGTGGTGGATGGTTTAAACAACTTGAACAACATGAGTAGTTTCTTGGAAAATATCTCATCATTAATTGATTACGTAGAGTCAATGATCCCATTCCCCGATCATATCCTCATTTGAGGACGAAACTAGGATGTCTACAGGGATCGATCCTTCAGAAATTTGGAATTTGGAGAATTTGGTATATTTTTCATTTACTCCCCATATTCTGTCGCTGTATTTTACCCCGGAAACAGAAGCTCCTCGTCCCAAACTAACACACCTAATTTTGGGCCCGAACGATCGGCGCGTTTTTGCATGAAGTGTGAGAGTTCACGGGCTTGAGAGGTGCCAGTCCTTGACTCCTGGGAGAATCGTTTGGGTGCACACTCCAAGATATTATACACATGCAAGTAGATATTACATATACATATATAGTGGTCTGTACAAATATATGTATATGTATATGTATATGTGTATGTCTATGTCTATGTGTATGTATATGTGTATAAGTATATGTGTGTGTATGTATTGTTATATAGATACTTTGTCCGAGGCAAGCTTCTTCCAGTGCTGTTCAAGGGTGGTGACACCAGCACAAGATAAATCCCTGAAGGCAACATCAAAATAGTTTTCAAAAGGGCTCAGAGCTATGAACAGCGGGAATTTGTACCACAAATCTGTTATGACCACTTGACCACTAACATGCGGATGTCTACGAAACAAAATACTAGGAATAAGACAGCATTTATTCGGGCTATATCAACATATATAGAAATATATATATATACACACATATCCTAACAAAAAATGTTTATTTATAATGGTGAATTCCCAATTGTAACCCATCACGTCCCCATTATCTCCCCAGTATAAGACCTATCATAACATGAATCCTCAGCATATCCTGCCCGCCCCATGGGCCACCGTGGCAGTGGTGCTTTCCGTGGCGGGTGCCGCTTGCTTCGCGTCGCCTCTGCCACATATGGTGTCGACAATGAAAGTCAAACAAGGATAACTCTGGAGGTTCAAAACAAATCTTGGAACACCCAGGGGCATGCGATATTCGTATCTATATCTATATATTGTATATATATATACATGTCTACATAGCTATATCATGCTATACCATGCTATATGTGTTTGTATATATCTATATATTCATACTATATACTATATAAATATAGTCTTATATAGTCATATAGTTGTCTATATATACGCATAATTCTTGTATTAGTTTCAGATCAGGACCATCGCCTGACAGGTCGTCGCTGCTCTCCACTGTCCTTGGAGCCGCAGCTTCCGACGTGTCCTTGTGGGCGAGCATTGGGAAAGCTATTTGCTTCTGGGTCAAAAATTCATGAAAATAAAAGAAACCTCCGGACATTCCCGGACCATCCGTTTTTGGGGCCAAGAATCTTAGATGATACACCATGATCTTTGATGTTCTAGGAACGACATCAATGCACTTGCGACACAAACGATGCAAGCGTCGCATGGCGTCGCTAGGCAACGGCGCTCCTTCTCGGATCTGGCTGAACTTTGACTCGGTTGACTTGGTTGACTCGGCTGACTGGTGCCCACCTGGATTTCACCAGGGCGTTTATATTTCGAAATCGGGTTCAAAGATGTTTAAACATGTTGAAATATGTTTAAATATATTTCCATGGGAAAGAAGTATTTGGAGTCAAGTCAAGTTGCATCTTGTTGGAACTTTCTGCAAAGAAATCAAGTTTCTCGACTTTGCAATCCATGAGAGTCAAGTTATCACAGCCCAGGAAGAACCTTGAAAGTCTTGGGGTGATCCCAGACTCAGCCAAGGTCTTGTGGATACAGAGATACAGATTTGGTATGTGGAGCCATAATGAGCCATCTCCTATTGGAATCCCTCCCGGACCTGTGGATCAGCATCCAGAGCCAAACCTGGCGCCAAAATTCGCGGCTCAAAAATGCGATTCCCAAATCTAGCAGTTTTATGTTGTTTCTGTCGAAAACCTGCTGAATTCCCCCTCTCTTGAACTCGCCCTGTATCCTTTGACCATCTAAGAAAGCGTCATCAGATCCCCCAGCCAAAGCCATGCCGCGCCCCAGAAGGGAAACTCTTTCCATGCCCTCCATTTTGAAATCATAGAGAACAAGTAACTCGTGCCACTATAAGCAGGAACTTTATAGATTCAGATACCCTTCGGGAATCAAACATGGCTGGGAAATCTCCGAACTAAATGGAGCTTTCTGGGAAAATCATCCGCATGGGGATTTTCTCAAATCCAGTGCCGGCGCCTGGTGGAACATCGAACGAGACCATCGGATTGCTGAGGCCTGGTGGCTCCTGGCGGCATGCTCAGAGGGAAGCACTGTGAAAGCTTCGTGGCTTCCCCGAAAATTAGGACTTGGACCACTTGGACTTCCGACATCATTTTGCACCGACAAGTTTTGCACATTTTGCACCATGAAACATGACAGTTGTGTCACCAACTTGGCTTGCCTGCATCATGCGGTTTGGTGGGCTTGGCAACCCTGGTGGGCGGCTGTAGCGTGGCATTGGCAGGCCCGGTGGGTAGCCAGCCTGGGCACCGAATCATGTCATGGCCCGACTCCAGCTACACAACACAATTGGGATGCAATAGCTGCAACGCACCTCCATTGCGCTTGGTTCCGCTCCTGCGTTTCAACGTGTTTCAACATTCCAAATCAAAGCCACGGCATCTGGTGGTTTGCCGAAAACAGGTTGTGACATGTTGTGATTGTAAGCATCCCAATTGCACCAATCATCCCAAAGTATGGTAAAACCTCCAATTCTCGAGGATATTGGAAACCGACCACTGGATTTTCCCACCTGTCGGCGCCATCCCATTGTCCAGAGACGAGTCTCTCTCTTGTGATCTCAGGGATCCAGTGGGTGTGATCAGAGACCAAACAAGAAGTGATCAGCATGAAAACTGTCAGTGGCCACATCAAACGGAATCTAGAAATCTCTGGAAAATCTCTGGAAAATCCCTGGAAATTAGATTGGCCGTGTGATCTTCAATGATATTGGCAACATGTTCATCATATGCGCAAAGTCGCATTCTTCTGGGCACGTGACATGGTCGACAAAGCAGTGCCAGTGCTGACATCCTGGCGCAAAATTTCAGACTCGAAGGGAGGTCCCCAGTCTCCAAGTCTCCCAGGTCCCGGGTGGAGAAAAAGTAACAGAGATATTTCAGGCATAGGTGACATGTCGTTTCGACTTCCTGCTACAACTGCTACCCCAAGATCTATCACTCTTGGAGTAACAATACCAACAATGAACATTCGATGGGAGACCATCTGCTGAAGGCCCAATTTCATTTCCCACAATTTGCCACTAAAAAGACAACGGGTTTCGTAACATTGGGCAAAAATTCATCCCAAAGTTCTCCCAAAGTTCCAACAGTTCTCCCAAGACCCATCCCAATGTTGGAATAGTTCGTCCGGGACCTGAGATTCCCGCCTCTAAGCGGCGGGCGACCAGACTGGTAATGGCATTTCCCTGGGAAACGGATCCATCCCAGCTCATGGGCATGGGATCATGGAGGTGCAAAATTATAGGACCAGTTAACCCCACATGTTACCAACTTTTCTAGACTTAGACTGAGCACAGAAAAGAAAGAAGGGAAGAGGAAGTATAAGAGTGATGGAGGGGTGCTGGGTGAGTTTGTGTGTGTGTGTGTATGTATGTGCATGCACAGGTGAGTGAATGAGAATGTGAGTGAGTGATGTGAGTGTGGTGTTGCGATAGATATTGAAAAACTTCACTTTTGTTAATTGCATCGGTCTGGAATCGAAAATTCCTACAATGCACCTGTGATGGAACTGACGGTGGAGGCGATGTCGGTGTCTGTACCTGAAGTGCTGGCAAACTATTTTTGTCCTTATTGTAAAAAAGATGAAGCAGACAGCTCCAACCAGGTGTCTTACTGGAGTGGTCGCATACCACGGTGTAGAAGCCTGATGCGCAGATGAAGTTACATATTTACAGCAACAGTATAGAAACCCAAAAAAAACCTCAGCACGTCACAGCAGAGCTGGAAGTTTGAAACGGAGCCAAAGCCTGGTTCGGTCAACAGCAGAGAAACACAACGCAAGCGCCAGAATGCATAACGCAAGCGCCTCAGGAGCCAAGGTCTTGGGTTGCGAGGTGCTGGCCTGAGGTAGCAAGAAAAGGCCAGTTCGTCAAAGCACGCACGATCACCACACCATGCCTTAATCTGTCGTGCTTCTGTAGCTTCCACCTGACCAGGAGCATTCCCGATTCTTGATCGCAATTATTTTCAAAGCATTGCCCGTCTCGCCTCCAACGAATCCAAGTCCACTTGCAACTTGCCAGCAATTCGAGCAACATCTATTCCATCGAACTGGTCATAGCCAGCAGTTTGGATGATCATGAAGTTCTCCAAGCAGCTTCTGAACTCTTGAAAGGCAGGGCCAGCCTCATTTTTCAGGTCATCGCGTAACCGTTTGCCAGCCTTGTTCACTTCGGAAGTTTTCAGCCCTGGAAACTTTTCCATGGTTTCGAGATCGACCAGCATCCAAACCTTTCGAGTTGTCTGATAGCAGATATTGCCAGAATGAAAATCGTGACCCCAACTGATGTCAGCACTTGCAAATGCACTGGCCGTGACAAGCAACTTCACAAACAGCCTTCGGACGTCTGCAGCTGTCAGCTTACCTCGGGCCAACACTTGCCTCAAGGTGTCTCCCACAAACTCCGACAGCAGACAATCAACTTCTGTTCGTTGCTGGGACGCGTCTTGAACATATTGCTTGCGCGTCGCATACACTGCTGGCAGATAGCGCGCCATGGGAGATCCAGAAGCTTGTCTGTAACCTTGCAACTCTCCTGGATGCAAGGAAGCATACCTTGGGTCAGTCGTCTCGTGGAACCATTTCAACACCATCGGTAATTCACGTAGTTTGTAGCAGTCTCGCCCTGCCCCAGAATCAAGGTAATCCATGACATCCTTTACAACTGTGCCATCTGCAAAAGTGACTTCGATCTCATACGCCTTTTCGAATCTTTTTTTTCCTGGTGCTGTTTTCCTTCTTGTTGCTCCAACGCAGACAAGGAATCTCTGAGATGAGGAAACTCTGCGCAGTCACGTTCTGCGCCATGGCTTAACTACAAAGGACAGGCAAAGTTGATATTATATCATTTTTGGTGAACACGAAATCATTTGTCCAGTATGCATGGTTAGCTACAGCAAATTCAGTGTTGACATATTGCTTTCTTGCCAAAACATTGATTCTTTTTATTGTTTCCCTACGTTGATAACTATGAGGTATACAATCAACTTGATAGAACTTCGAATTCTTTGAAACCCCCAAGCACAATTGGCAAGTAGCTTCGAGTGCTGGAAGATCTCGAACAGTGTTCATATGAAATCAAATTGATAGAACCTTGAATGTCTTGATTTTTTTTGCTTGTTTCCCTACGTGGATAGCTATGAGATATGAAAATCAAATGAAAAAACTTCCGCTTGCCGTCTAAAGCCGAAAACACAAAGGCAATAAGTAATAAGGCTGCAACACTTGACAACAGGTGAAAAGACACGGTCGAACTGTCCGAACCAAGTCCAATACAATATGCACAGAGACATACCGAAGCAATTCCAAGGCCTCATCATGTCAACCGCAGTGCTCGGCAGGTGCGCTATCTGGCAAGGCACTTTGGTTTCTATTTTGTGCACGTCAAACATGTTGCAAACAGGCCAAGCTACACCGAGCAGTCTGACACACGTCAAACAGGCCGCCTGAAGGCCACAAACCGGTCAGCGCAGGACATCCGATCCGATTCTAGAAGAAGAGTCAAAGCGGAGACATCTGCTACACCGGAAGTTGCTTGGAAAGTATGATCGACAGCTAGTCAATCTACATACAATGATACATGTATGTGAATTTGTGATAGACACACAGGTGATTTGCTTGTGGAGCTACAATGTGGCACACAGTGGTCGAGGACAATGCTCAGATACGATGACTAGATGATACTTAACAGCACTGGAGTGAGTGAGGTAGTGAGTTGGAGTGAGTTGGAGTGAGGTGGAGTGAGGTGGAGTGAGGTGGAGTGAGGTGGAGTGAGGTGGAGTGAGGTGGAGTGAGGTGGTGAGGCGGAGTGAGGTGGAGTGAGGTGGAGTGAGGTGGAGTGAGGTGAGGTGGAGTGAGTGAGTGAGTGATGAGTGAGGAGGACGGGGAGGACGGGAAGGCGCGGATACAGAGCTAAAAACAAAAACCCCACACGTCAATGTGGGGAAAAATGGAAAAATCGGATACTTCATGATACTTCAACACTGAAAGCAAAAGTTATTTTATCCAAAGGGCTGTTAGGGGCTTAGATTTTGACTACCGTAAATGCCATATCGTTTTCAGCTGGTGATTGGATGCTGCGTCACATCCTCCAACTGTTTGGCAGAGGGAGCTCAAAGATGGGGTACCAATAGATTGCCAATAGCAAGATGCAGCAAGATGCAGCAAGATGCAGCAAGATGCATCATCTTGATCCTTCTCCTACTTATTATTGTTCAATTCATTTCAGGGTTCCTGTATACCCAAACTTCATCATCCCAACTGATCCATGTTCTGAAAATCACGATTTTTCTTATGGGTCAAAGTTTGGTGCAGCCAACAGCTCACAAATGGTTGATCATTTTTTGTGGTAATCATCTATGTTTAAGCCCATTTTGCTCAAACCAATCATGTAGGCTTATCCAAAAATAGGAAATACCTTGAAACCAACACTCAGGTAATCACAATGCCCGTCACTCTTAACCATTTCAGGGGCCGATTGCAATTCCAAACAAACCTATTTCATACGTTCGTTTCCCATTGTATTTCCATTCACATCCCCATAAACTGCTTGGTCTTGTCAACTCCTTTCTGGACAAATCCAAATGGCTATCCCATGCTAAATCAACATCATTTTCGCTTCATGGCCGTCAAATGAGTCTTTCAAATGACTATTTGAAATGGTTATGTCATAAAATCCCATGAAGCACTATCAAATGCCCTATCAAATAGTGTAAGATAGCATCAAATACCATGGGGGCTGGGCAATTCCATGGCCATTCCACCATAGGCCCATCCCCCCTTTTAGGGTCCCCTCCCAGCATCTTTCGGCACCTTCTCTGCCCGCAACAGCAGATCCACCTGCGGGTTTTCAATGGACTGGAAGCCATGAAAAACAGGTATTTTTTACCTTAAACATGGAGGTCTTACCGTGAAAAACATAGGATTTCAGAAAAGGAAAGTTGGGTGATTTCCTTCATGTAGCAGGAGTTTAAGAGTGATGTAATGCCAAACATCATGAGGATATCAATGGGAATGTAATGTGATACAACCAAGAATCTGATATATGAATCTGCCCAGAAATGGGACCTTTGAAACCAAGCTATGGCAATTAGGTAAAATGAACATTGGATGCAATGGTTTGCTTCAGTGTTGTGGCCAGCATTTGTGCTATGCGTTTTTATTTTTTTTCGTTTTCGGGGTTTGAGGTAACTTGGCCCTGCCAATATTTTGAAGGCATCCCAAAGTTGGAAATCAACTAAGTTCATGCCGTAGCGGGGCTTAATTGACAACGTCAACCCTTTAAAGATGCGCAAGAGCTGTGACGAAATGTGCTCTTGGTTCTTTTGGAATCTTTTGGAACAATGAATCCAAAGTTTACTGGAGGAAGAATTTGAATTACGGCGACTTTAGTACCATCCCTTTCCGTTTTCTAAAATCTTCACTGAAAGTAGATTTTAGCAAGGTCAACGATATAAAGTCCAAGTACCTTGGGGACTTTGTGCATATGTGACTGTGCATGACCATGTCCTTGTGAAATCACAATTTTCACCGATCCTTTCTAGTTAGATTGTTGCTGAAATTGAGGCACCCTAAAATCACAAAAGGTTTCCTTCATAAGGATTGCCAATAACTTGGATGTGTCCCCGATTTCAAGAAACCACCATTTAGTTCCAAAAAACAAATGATTTATCCTGAGCCGCAGCCAGAAATTTTGATAGGCCCAGATCACTTAGGGACCTAAGGACCTTAAGCATCCTCCATTGATCCCGATATCAGAAACCACACCATCCATGGTATCCACCTGGCCCTGCGGCTCGGTTGCTGTACACAGCGCCTGAGTTTGAAAAATCTTGGGATATCCCATGTGAGTGTTGGATAGTATATATATACATAATATATATATATATTATATATATATATGTGTAGTATGTAGAATATGTAGATAAATGGAGGAAATCCTACATATTGATACATATTGGGAATCATGTTGGGATAATCCTACATTGGGTCAATACTGTGTTGGAATATAAAGAAAGAAATAAATAAATATATATATATACATAAATAGGTCGCAGTGTTTCTCGGGGAAATGGAACCCTTGTTGGTTCACATCTCCAATTTCTGGAGCAGAATGCTCAGCTCATGGAGATTCCCAGCTCATGGATTCTGATCATCCCTGCATAAAACATGGTAAAGCCCAAGATGATTTGATTGGATTGCGTGAAGAGAAAATCGACAATATCTACAGGAAAGCTGGCTCTACCATCCAAATTCAAATTCATCGCGATGTCAACCGCAAATTTCTCTTCATCCAATTCTGGAATTTACCCAATGACATTCACACAATTTGATACTTTTGGGTCCTCCCCTGTAAGAAAAGATCTGCAAATTATGGTCGATCTTCATGGCACTATGATGATTCACCAATAGAATTGGGTAAGCAACATTTTTGCATGTCCAAACATACGATATCCGTTTGAGTTTGATGGTTTATCATCATCGTTCTTGTTAAAATGACCATTGGGGGCTATACCAAATTTTTAACCCCGTAGAATCATACTTGGTTTTATACAAGTGTATATATATATTATTCCAATTACATCCCAACTATGTCCCAATTGCGTACATCCTAACTATATCCCTATATTTTTGATTATTAAACCGGTGAAACCTCTATAAACTGGTTCTAGCATTTGAACCCGGCCGAGATCCATGCCAGGAAAGCATCAGGGGTCTTTGGTTGACACCTTAGCACCATGCGACAGATTCTGATGGTTTGAAGGCTTCTCCGTTAGCGAAAAAAAACAAATAGGCCGGAGTAGCCTGATATCTGTAGGACTAGAGGAATGACTGAGATTCACAGGAATTGAAGCAGGATGGAGAGGTGTTGTGTCAGGTGGGGTGGAATCTCCTTTGCTCAACACCCCACAACTTTCAAAAGCACAGGGAAGAGTCACACCCATGTCTCTCAAAAATGCATCAAGCTATTCACCTGGCACGGCTTTAGAGCTTTCTAGAAACTTTTTTGTGGTTGTATAATGATTATAATGTAGTATATCTATCTGGGCAATTTAGAATAAATCTTACCTCGTCATCTCGTGCTTAAATCGTGAAACCGGAACATTTAGTGATCTCGTTAAATGAGCATTTTATGTTTAACCCCTCGTCGAACACAGCCCAGTTTTGCCTTGCAGATACAGCTCTTTCATCCCATTCAACCCTCACGCCTTCTCTTTGGCGGGGACAAGTCTTCCAAAATGCTTGGCGGGGACAAGTCTTCCAAAGGCTGGAGGAAAGGGAGAAGGAAAAACAACTTTTCTAGGGGAGAAAAGTTTTTTAAAGTTTTTTTGTTTTTTTGGCTTGGACCAAATGGCAAGTGGAAAAAAAACTTGTTAGGCTGCGAAAAGTTTATTTTCTCTCCCCGGCATTCAACGTTCCAGACTAGAAAAGGTTGTTCTTCTCGAAACAAGGGTCTGCATTTCCTCTTGAGAACGGGAAGCAACAACCACAAGCATGGCCAACAGCTACAGGAAAATGAGCTTTCAGCAAAATTGCTGCAGAATCACAGCTTGCCAGAAAAAAAACTTTTCAGCTCCAGAAAAGTTTTTTTCCATGTCCCTTGCCATGGAAACGGTGTCTGAGCACCCACCTCGTCTGACTGAATTTAGTTAAACCAGCTCGTTAAAACCAAAAGGCTACCTCGCACCTCGGCTGTCCTCGCTATAAATTGCACAGATCTATGTATATCTGCATTTTGGCTTTCTGAGCCCCCTCGCCTGATGGGGGACTGGAACTTCAGGTGCTGAGTCACCACAAGCTTCACTATCCTCTCGTTGCAGTGGACATCATTGATACCATCGTGATGTTGTGGGGACATTACAAGTAACATCCAGTAACATCCAGTAACATCCAGCAACATCCAGTAACCATGTTTGAACAAAAAGGAATGGAATCCAGGGCAAACATCTCCGGTTTCGGCTGAAAGTTCAGCTGCCATCATCACGTTCCGCAAAATTCCACGGAGGCTCAGGCGGCCTGAGACTTGATGGTTTTAACACCCAAAAAATATAGCCGTGGACCATTTCTATGCCAGATATGCACTTTAAGAATATGTGAAGCCCAACCAAATTCTTTTTATCTCCATGATCATCAATAAATCAGTGTCAGAAGAAAATATTGGACCATGCTGTGTGATTCTTGGCCAATAGAGATTCCCCTGAGATAGTCCCCCCAACATGTTGGGTACACCCTTCGCGATAGTTACCCAGCCTCCGCCTTGTTCCGCTGTCCCCGCAGAACAGCAAAACGTCTGTGACCTGCGATTGGGATTTCACCAACAATGGCTGGATGGGTCAAAAATGCAAAGATCGTTTGACCAATTTGACCAACACAAATATTGCTTTGGGGATGAAACATCTTTCTGTTGGTTAAAATAATATGGAGGAATCGAGATATCGAAATATCGGAGGATGGAAACTTCCCACACATACCCAAGAACTTTGGTTGCAGTTTCCTTGAGGAAGTTCGAACCGTTGGGATGACACTGCGCTTTTCACTCATTGATCTGGCGCCTCACGTTCTCCCACCATCAGCACCCGATCTGGACATGTTTCCTGCACGTACCGAAGCTCCTGTGCTGTCGGCTTGTGAAGTGCCGACTTCAGGAGAGTAGGTGATAGTTGGCTTGGGACCCCGAAGTTCTTTTGATATACCCAGATATACCCAGATTTTGCAAGATCGTCTATGGTCATCTCATCATTTTCCATATTTTCCTAGCATTTCTCGACCATTTCTCTACCAACTTCGATTCTCCCAGCGCCACAGCTCCTGACTGGCATCTAGTTCCTGCGGGAACTCAGGAATGGGGCCATAAAAGCAAGCACTTTACGGGGAGATACACTGGGGACATATAGTGGAGATATAAGGGTACACATTTTTGGGATAGAATGAGGGTGTTGGAGATGAATGAGGACAGGAGTAGATCTGATGGGTGTGATTTTTTGACCCCCAAACTTCAAATCACATTTGAAACTATTGGGTGTCATATATGTGTGGATTGAACAGAGGGGACTTCCCTTACTAGGGAAAATAGAAACAGGAACTACAGTACCCCCCTACGAATCAACCAACAACTCTCTATGAGAACTGGTGCCCTTGTGCAATTTCCAAGTGTCATCTACTCTTGCTGTGCAGTGACCGGACCTCCAAGTCGAACATTTCCACGTCTTCAGGGGCCTCCTGAGGTAAGGAGCTCAGTCAAAAACTATTCACCGGAGCCCTAAATCTCCGACAGCAAGAATGACAATCTCCATTGTCTCCAATAGGATGGAAGATGCAAAACTCCGGTCTTAGGCTACTCACAACCAGCCTCGCGAACAGACCAACGCCAGAAGAATTTCTCTGAAACGGCGATAACATATCGACCTGTGCCAAGGCTCAGATCCTGTGTCTTTGTGGTTTCTTAGATCCATATTAATTGAAACCTTTACATCACCTTTTTGGCTGGTTTTCCTATTCTTTATGGTTGGCAAATCCCCAATTATCCCAATCTATATCTCATTAAACCATATACTTGCTGCTTACATACATTAAATTGAATAATGATCAATTTTTCTTCAATCCCACATTTTCTCAATACAGTAACGTGGGAAACCCAATAATAAACCTACCATTTGGGGATGGTTCCCACCGTGCCTGACGGGGACACTGACATATGCTGCAACGTCTCCTCAGGGCACACTGGACATGCCATGGATGGAAAACAACCCGTGAAGACCTTGGGGAAAATGATCTAATTGGAAGATTTTTGATATCCATTTGGTCTTTAATTTACTGGAGAATATTGCAAATATCATATTCAACTACAAGGGGGGTACACATAGAATATATATAATTTGGATCTACAATGAGATAAACATGAGATATAAACAAGGTATAAAACACCAGAAAAAACGCTACGCTGAAAGGGTATAACACCAACATACACCAAGCCGTCACCAAGCAATTTAGCTGTCACTTGAGTCATTGGGGATGACCATCCGGATTCATGGACCGTGCCCCATGTGCCCCTCCTTGGGATCCATCAAGTGGGCCTTCGACGCAGATAGCAGGGGATCTGGGGTACGGGGAATTCATCTCCAAAAAATGCACATGTTAGATAATTACTCTGCGGTCTCATGTAGCTCTGGAAAACGGCCAATCTTTAGATCATTTATCTATTAAAAGTGGTGATCTTCCATAGCTATGTTAAATTACTAGATGGTAAAATCCCCATGTTTCTTGGTTGAGCCATGATTTCATGGGGACCCCAGCGCAAGCGCAATCCCCACCTCTCCACAGCTCGCTTTCAGCAACTCCGGACTAACCAACACGCCATGTTTCGCCTGGCGGGTCAAAAGGCTGAAATCGGGTGAACACCGTAGCAGTGTTAAAAAATGAGGGGTTCATTCTGCAAAAATATGGCATGAAAGGTTTTGATCCGTCCAATCTCTATATATATATACATGTTTCATATTATGTATAATATGTATTATATATATATATGTATACGTATGGGTCCATACATACTTTTTTTAATGCCCTTACTACAGGGATGCATTGGGAAAATAGGAAATTGTCAGCTACTTACTAAGCTACTTACTATCCATGTAGGAATCTCCTCCCAGCCCCGCATGTCTAGCGAGTGGTTATCGTGGTTATCCTTCCACAGGCTCTAAACGTTTGAGGAACCCAATCCACCAATCATTGTGGTGCTACAGGTGCCAGCCTGTTGCGTGCCCCATTAAGGGCACAGAACTCCGACATATCAATGAGTCACTTTGTGCCCTTTTGGCATCCAAAGATCACCAAACATACACATACAACAGATACAACACATACATCAGAACTGCATCTCGACCCAGCCACGTGCGAGCGATGAAATCCTCTGGCATGCTTCGACCCTTCCTTCACAAGCCTCTAGCAGGAATTCTAGCCCCGAACGCATTCGTATCAGATCTGCCGCAGTTAATCCTCGCGAGTTTTGCAGATTCAGCCTTGCCCCTGCAGCAATCAAAGCCGCAGCAAATTCGTCATTCCCGGAGAGTAAGGCTAGCATCAAAGGCGTAGCACCTTTGGCATGGTACAGAATCTTGTTGAGTATCCTGACCTTGTGAAAGCGGTGCTGCAGAACCATGAAGGTGTAGAGAGCTCAATAAAGTGCCGTGCGCTTGTACCACTCAACAGTCTGATCATTGACATCTGCCCTCATTTCAACCAGTGGTGCACTACCTCTGCACCTCCAAAGCCTGGTGCAGCAGTGCAAAGGGCGCAAGTGGCATCCAATGAACTGAAGTTGCTGTGTCGAAGGAGTTCGTCCAGGGCTTTAAGAGATCCAAAGCCGGTAGCACTTTCCAGCGCAGTCGAGCCCAAAGAATTTGAATCAAGGGGGCACCTCGCACGGAGGAGAATTTGGATGGCTTCTGTGTTGTTCACTCCCTGCTGCACAGTGAAGAGGTCTGTGAATCATCGCCCTGCTGGTGACCTTGCCTTTGGCAGAGATCAACAGCTGGATAGCTTCATTGTTCTTGAAGCTGCAGGAAATACAAAGAGGTGAAATTCCTGATTCAAATCCAAGACCTGGGTGGACCTTCCTTGTGACTTGGTTCGGATCACGATTCGGATCTGCCTGAAGTGTCAGTAGGTCTTGAATCAACGCTGGGTCACCGTTCAAGGCCGCATAGTGAAGAGGCGAAAATCCAGCACTGTCCATCTCCCCGATGGTGCGGAAACCGTTCTGATGAAAAACTTCATGACAAGGGGTGACAAATCCAAATCTACATAGTGTTGCTCAAAGCCCGGAACCGGCTCGAAGGGAATCCAATCCAAACCTCTGAAAACAAAAGCTTGATGGTTCAGCAAAAAAACGAAAACCTGGCAGGTCCTGGGCTTTGAGAAGCGAAAGCAGCTTGCGCTTTATCGCTTTCATGAGAACTGGCCCAAGTTTCAAGCGATCCTCCGGTACTGTGAAAGCTCCTTCACCCACTGGCCCAGATCCAGCGGTAATGGATGCCCCAGCGCCCGATATGAGCTGAAGATCATTGGGACCTTTCACCTGAATCCAGCAGTGGCTTTGGGACAGTTCTCGGCAAGATCTTTCCAACCTGCACCAGCCCCTACTGTTCCACGTGAGTGGAGAAATCATATTGGTTCCACTCTGGTTCTCCAAGACGGGTACAAGGGCAAAAAAGAACGAGCACTCGTCCACATATGCCGGTATGCTGTTGATGGCATTATGAGCTGAAGCTTCACTAAGGGCTCCCTGTGGGCACGAGAAATAATCATACCAAAAGAAAAGCGGTTTGGCCAGAATCTTTGACGTTGGATTTTGGGCTTCAAATTTGGATTTTGGGCTTCAGAAATTACATCTGAAGGTATGCTCTTCAAGTTGCCCATCATGTTTTTCAACGCAGCCTGCAAGACCTTCATCTGCCACTCTGGGTCCGGGCTGCTGGCAACCCACTGGTGTGAAACAAATGCTGCATTGCCCATATTCATTTGGAACTCCACCAACACACCTCTGGCCTTCAGTTCTTCATGAGGCTCGATCATGGTCATCTCCAAAAAGGTGCCGAAAGGGACCGTGTACATAGGGAAAAGCATGGGCAGCTTTTCACCGTCATCGAGCTGAGTCCTCAATGATCTTGCGTACTGGGCCAAGGGTGTCGAAGAATTCCCACCGCAACATGCCATTGCAAATATGATGCTACTGAAGTAGCAGGTGGTGCCCCTTGTAAGGGCCTCACCAAATTGTTTGAGCGAACAATAGTGTATAATTTGATGATATTATCCCATTATCATTTGGAGTGACCCCCCCACTAACAGTGGAATAATGGATTTTAATTGTAAGGGGGGACAGTCCAAAGTATCATCCAATCAACTTGTGGAATGATCTATGCAAAAACCTCCCATTTCGCCAAGCGAAACGATCTTCGTTACGCCGCCCCGGCAGTACATTCTGTTGCCGATTGTTACCATGGTTCAATATGGCTCAATATGGTTCAATGGTGATGTGTTAGACAATTTGGAATTATTCAACAATCCTAATTGCTCCGTGCAATGTAAGAAACATGAAGATGATCTATCAAACAAATAAGAAGAACACAGCCCACTTGAAAGTGGTACGGGGAATAGGGCCCCATCATTACCATCATTAGCATCATTGAACAACACAAATAAACACGAGTTTCAGCTGGCCATGGGTTTTAACATTGTTTAACCAACCCCAGGTGACCCCAATAACTATCCATTGGGGAGGTCACCTTCGGGTTGGCGGTGTGTCAGTGTCAGCACCCCTGGCCATGGTGTCCCATCCAATTCCTCGAAAGCAATCTTGTCGGGGAACTCTAAACATCAGTGTCTCGCGACATCCTCAAATTTTTGGTCAGTTTGCGTATTAAAATTCTCACTCCGGCATGCCCTATTCTGGGACACCCCAACCTCTTCATTTGCTTCACCAACGTTATCCCATGCTTGGGAACCAACAACTTTGGCTAAGATTAAAGGATGCTCCGACAGCAAATCTTTATTCGCCGGCTCCGTGGATGCCCTATAATGCAAGGTGACTACGTGAAGTCCTGTTAAAATCCGCAATTCAATACATCAAATACATTCAAATACAAGATTCAAAATCAAGGACACTGTCAGACGCAAGTCACTGTGAACACATAATTTGGCAGTATGTATTGCCCTAGTGACCGTCCAAAGATTCGGGTCAAAACATCGCAGAGCAGTGGTGGTTTTGGTGGTGGCCTGCCCCATCGTCGTGAAGTGAAGCAATTGCAAATTCCAGAGCCTGGCACTGGCTTGGCGCCCACCAATCATGTTGTCTGGTTGTGCTTTCACCTTGCACTATTTTCACCCAGTCATATTAGCTGCGGTTGAAGTATGTTGAGGTACTGCGGAAATTTGAGTTCTGTGTCTTCGGGCTTTCCAAACAAATCTGATCAGCCGTTTGGCAAAATGGCAACTTCAAACAAGAACTGCCATTTCCTGTGACAAATGCGTCTATCCACACAAAGATTCACAAATTGAGCAGGGTCAAGACAACCTGACCTGCCATCCCATATTACCATATATTAAATATATATTACCCATCTTTTCCGCTGGAACGTGGAACAGGTGGAACCCTTGTTGGGTTCCGCAAGTTCCGCAAGTTCCTCAGCTCAGATCAACCGCGCAGGGGTCCGCATCCACGTCCGAGCTCCGTGGGAATTGCCCTCAGCTGTGCTGGAACGGGTTGCACCTTCAAAACCACTGGATCTTTGGGATTTACAAAACTGTAGGAAACGTAATATCATTACTTAGTTACTTCCGATACAAAAAAAATGCTGGATCCCATTTACCCCACATATTCACCAGCTTCACATCCTCGTCTTATGACCCTCCCATGCTATCACCAAGAAATCAACTTCTTGGCTGGTCCAGCATTTTGGTTGATCATCGTTGGTTAAATCAGGTTCATATTCCCATTCTAATCAGGCTTCACCCAGCAAAACTATCCCAGCAATTTCATCCTATCCCAATCAACAACCATCATGGCTGAAAACCGTACCCTACCCATAAACTGCTTGGTGATATCCCCATAACTTCCCAATTGTACACCACGTTGTCCCATGATAAATAATCACCATGATATCAACGTTTTCTGCTCCTGTTTCTCATATATACCTCTCGTTCGCTGTGCTTACCTCCATTATACCACAATGATATCACCATTTAAATCATTTATATTCATTTATGGGAACTCCCTGAACTATTAGGCGTTTCCATAATGTTCCATATAAAAACATGGTCTATAGGGGATCTCCATGGATCTCCCAACAGCGATGGTGACTCTGGATGACTCCGGGACCGCCAAGGATCTGCAGAGGCGTTGTGCTTCTGCCAGGGCACTTTGGGCATCTGCCTGAGATCGATTCCGGGATTTTCTCAGAAAAAACATGCATTAAACGTGTTTCAAACCTTTAAAACATATTCGAAGGAAGTTTAGAAGTCAAACTTCCGACAATATGGAGAGATGAAAAGCAGAGCAGGGAAGAGGCATAGAGAAGAGAAAGATTAGAAGAAAGAAGATTAGAAGAGAAAGAGTAAGAAAACAGAAGAAAAGAGGAAGATAGAAGAAAGAAGAAAAACAAGAAGAGGAAGAAAGAAAGACAGGAAAGAAGAAGAAAAGACAGAGAAGAAAGAAAGGAAAAAGAAGAAGAAGAAAGAGAAGGACAAGAAGGAAGAAGAGAAAGATTAGAAGAAAGAAGATTAGAAGAGAAAGAGTAAGAAAACAGAAGATACAGATGCGCGAAAAGGTAGGAAAGTCGCGAAACACTGTGTTTTTCCAATGATTTGTGGCTCCGGAGGGTCGAAAAGTAGGCTCGCTAAAGCGGCGGGTGCGGAGCCAGCTGGCCAGAGGAGAGATGAAAAATTGCACACCGTTGTGGCGCGAAGCACATTTCCAAGTGAAAATGTACAAAACACACCATTCTCGGACCACTTTTGGAAGTTGAGATGTCAAAAAAGTGCACGCCGTTGTGGCGCGAAGCACATTTCCAAGTCAAAATGGACAAAACACTAGAGGAGCGGACCACTTTTGGAAGTTGCGATGTCGAAAAAATGCACGCCGTTGTGGCGCGAAGCACATTTGGAAGGCAAAATGTACAAAACACACTATTCTCGGAGCACTTTTGGAAGTTGCGATGTCGAAAAAGTGCACGCCGTTGTGGCGCGAAGCACATTTTACAAGTCAAAAGTACAAAAACACCATATCGGAACCAACTTTTGGAAGTTGAGAAAAAAAAGTTGAGATTCCCGCAAAAAAGTGCACGCCGTTGTGGCAGCGAAGCACATTTTCCAAGTCAAAATGTAAAAAACTGACGGTCTCGGACCACTTTTGGAGGTTCAGATGTCGAAAAAGTGTCGAAAAAGTGCACGCCGTTGTGGCGCAAAGCACATTTCGAAGTCAAAAGTGTAAAAAACTGAGGGTTTTGAGGCTTTTTGACGTGAAGATGTCGAAAAAGTAGACACTGATTAACTGAACTAACTTGACTAACTTAACTAACTTCACTAACTCAACTACCCTAACCTCGACGACAACAGCAACAGCAGCAACAGCAACAACAACAACAACAACAACACCGACACCAACACCAACACCAACCACAACAACTACAACTACAACAACAATAGATGGAGAGATGGAGAGATAGATAGATAGATAGATAGATAGATAGACAGACAGATAGATAGATAGATAGATAGATAGACAGAGAGAGAGAGATAGATAGATAGATAGATAGGTAGGTAGGTAGGTAGGTAATTAGATAGATAGAGAGAGAGATAGATAGAGAGATGGATAGATAGATAGATAGATAGATCGATAGATAGATAGATAGATAGATAGATAGGTAACTAGATAGGAAATTAGATGAAAAAGAGAGAGAGAGATAGAGAGATCGATAGATAGATAGATAGATAGAAGATAGATAGGTAGGTAGGTAGGTAGGTAAGTAGGTAGGTAGGTAGATAGGCAGAGAAAGAGAGAGAAAGAGTGAGAGAGATCAAGCACCTTTCAATCCATCAGTGGATTCGCTTTGCCATCCCTGATTCACAACAACCAACCTCGCCTTGTGCGGTACTACTGGTAAAACATCATGTTTCATATTAATACACATATGTTTCCATCTTTTCCCACCAATATCGTCCCCAATGGTTTGGTAAATCTCGCTCGCCATTTTAAAACGTGCCCCAGCCCCCCAAAAAGAAGCACCCATGATGTTTGGTTGTAGAAGTTGTACCCTGTACAGTCACTCCCAGCGCTACCCCCTTGCTGACCCGTTGAACATAGTCCACCTGAAGCGGGAGCGATGGAACACATGAGAGGTCACACCTTGGAACCATCATTTCCCATGCATCTTTGGGCTGAGAAAATCTGTCAGCGAAACCAGGCGGATGTGGTTTTCATCCCGCCTGCAACAAAGTGGCAATGAACTCCTGAACCTCTTTGGGACCTCGTGGTAGGAGATATTCCTCGCATCAGCGTCGCCAGTCCCAAATGGAATGGAAATCAAACATCGATTCATCGATCCCAACTTCGAATCACCAGCGGAAGCTTTCATCGTTGTGTGTTGCATCTGTCGTCGACAGGGTCAAATGGGTCTTGGCAAGCCAAGTTTCTCCCTTTTGTGCGCGACTGGGAAATTCCTTGGCAGGTTTCATGGTGGGTTTATGGCGTTAGCCATTCTGATTCAGGGGCATCATTTTCAATTTTTTGACGCAAGAATGGATTGGTATTTAGGAATCATTGGTAATTTCCATGGTGTCCACACAAGTTTTCCGCAACTTCGGAATACTGATGGCACTGCAATGTGGCTTGGCAATCTACTATGGGACTTTGATCTCCGAGGTACGCTGTAGTTGAAAGCTGGCTTCCCTTCCAGCATCAGGTAAAAAACGCAACCTCGATTCACGGTGAAAATCCGGGGCCGGTCTGACAGCAGTGGGAAACTAACTGTTGCACCAATGTATACACAGACAAAACACATACATACACAGAAACATTGAAATCTACATCAACATTTACATTTGCAACGCTCACATTTACATCAACACATGTAAGTCTATATGTCTGTCCGTATGTAGATTCAAACAACGGTAGCGCCCCAAGCAGGTCCAACCCATCCCAACCCCGGCAACTCCTAAATCCCCCACTCGAATGGGTGACCGCTTTGGATAGTCAAGATGCCATTGGGGTGGGAGAGTCGTAGGGATGGGCTTCAGGGTGGGAAAGTGGAGGAGACATCATTAATGCCCTTAAGCAACCTCACTCTGCAACTACAAAGTAAAGCCATGCGAAGGACTCAGCATGCCTTAACCGGGCTATCGCCATCATATGTGTGTGTATATATATATACACGTATCTGTATATTTATATATATATGTGATGCATGTGCCACCGGTATCTACCTATCTCCCTAGCTATCTGTCTATCTAAATACAATCAAGAATAGTTTGATGGATTTTGACCCACAACCTGCATCCAAGCAGCCCATGGACCAGCAATCAGACTTGATTTCCTGACAGCGGGGACCCTATCTTCAATGCTCAGGTGTAGGGCAGGTTTTCCTGGTCATTCATATGATTTCTATAAGGATGCGCAGTGGAAATACAATTTGTGCCATGTGAAATAGCCATCTCCCATCTCTGAACTAAGCATTGTAGACCTGTCCACATATATCGTCCACGTTGAAGACTGCCCATCCAGAGCCAAACTTTAATTGTTCCGGAGGATTTATGGGTGTGTAATCCGTTCTTCGCCCCACCAATATTCGCACATTTTTACCCAATAGATGCAATAGATAGACATGGAATGCTTACTCTCAGAATTAGCTTCATCATTTCCCTTTGTTTTAAACCACTGTGTGTTTTCTGGTCACACATTTAAAAAAATCACCCACCTATATCATCTATATCCATATAAATTCCATACAAATATAGATAAATAAAGATATCCCATAGATAAATATAGGAAAAATCACCTATATCATCCATAAAGATAAATAAATGGATGTTTATCCCCTTCACGGGATTTCCCACATCCCATGACACATCGCTGAGGCTCGATGGGCCGCCCGGTACTCGACATGGCCTCCCAGTTGTAACTTGTGAAAAAATCCTTTAATTATAGAGCTTATGTAACTTATAGATATGTCATTATAGATATATCCACCATATATATATAGATATATTCTCCATAAACTCTGGCTACTTGAAAAACAGCTCAGCGAACTGGGAAGCTATCACTTTGCAGAGCGTAAAGCGATTGGTTATGGACTAGACATGTTTCATCCAATGCACCAACTCGATGAGTAGTGACCGTTTCGACACACCAATTAGACAAAAAGTCATATTTGATTTAGAACGCAAATATGTTTCAAAACCAAAAAATGACAGATATGACTGATATCTGCATCAATTCTTGATTTCTGAATCCACCTCCCAGTTTTGAGGGTAAGATTCTGAACAGATATTCAAATCGATATGAGCTCATATCTATCTATGTGTCATCTCTTGTTAGGACCCTGGTTTACAGCCTCATTGATGCTGAGAAAACACCCAATCTTTGAACCCATCATGTTCATCTTCCCATATGAATGAGGGGATGAACAAGCATACTGCGTTCCGGCAACACCTAGCTACTTGGTTTTGAACACTTGGGTCCCCAAAACTGCATACTTGATTATAGATTCCTCTGCCCACCGCACATTCTTGGACCAAACCATATCATATTGTTGGCTTTATCCTATTCGATCTCTGCTACATTCCATTTCTACCCACACTATAGTCTTTATTATTCATAGGTTGAATATGGTTGAATCACCCTTCTTAATGGGAACATCCCCCTATTTTGGCTGGTTAGTTCCTGTATGTATAGATGCATACATATTCCATTACATCCACAACATGGCTCGCTATATCTTCATTACTTAGCCATAAACTGGTTTTATCCCACCACCAATGATATACCGCTATATCCCCATGAAAACTGGTTGCTTTATACCAAATCAGATGCTTATCTGTTAAAACCCTGGCATCCTTCTGTTCACAACCATAATAGGAGGGATCTACAGATGTTCATCAGCCGTAAATCTGATATTTCAATATATTTCATAGGTAAGCTGATCCAGCTATCCATCAATATCATCAATGTCTGGTTTGACCTATATCCGACCAAGTTCAGTGCCTGTCTTTTCAACTCGGGCGCCATATAGCTAGCGCTGCCCGGCAAGGGCCCCTGAGCTCGAAATGCGAAAATTCTGCCGGATTTTTTGGGAAGGTTTGGGACTTTCAACACATTTTTTTAAACATTCATTAAGATACTTGAAGCACTATTCTTTCAAACGTATTCTTGGGATTTATTGAGATTCACTGGGATATTTTGCCGGCATTGGCTTAATATTTTGGCACTAAATACAGTGATCCCAGCAGAATTAGGAGGATATGGTCAAAGTCAAGCAAAAAAAATACAGCTGCAGAAACGAAATTGCCAACCCAACAGGCGTCGAGGGGTTCCTATCGTCAAATAGCTCGAAACAGTATGGATTCCTAAGGTTTGAAGTCATCAAACTATTGGATAGCTTAACCCTCATGAGAATAACATAGAGCATCATAGATGAACACCATGCTTCACCATGAGAAAACATCCAATTTTATCCATATATATATATGTATCATTCATGGATATCCACACATAGACAAGTAAGTATGTACAACTATGTATGTATGTATGTATATATATATATATATGTGCATGTATATACGTGTATATATGTGTATGTGTATATATATATATATATATGTAAATGTGCATATATATACATATATATATATATGCACGTATTTATGTGTATATATAAATGTAAATGTGTATGTATATATATATATATTTATATATGTGTAACCATGTAAAATATGCGTATAAATGTGTGTATATATATATAGTCTCGTGTTCCGTGTTCTTACCCCCGCCCCAATCGTATGGGTCCCCAGGTAGCACCCCCCTTTCCCTTCTATTTTTAAGCTATTGGCAGCATTTCTGAGGTCCAGCCTGGTATTTGCTAGGTCTTTGCAGCATTTCTGACTACCAGCCTCGCATTTACTAGGTGCATGCTAGCTTTTAGACGACCTACGTAGCACACATACTCCCTCAAAGTACCTACGTGCTACCTATAGTCATATATACATGTGCTATGTATCTACTTCCTATTTACTATCTGTGTACTCTCACAACACTACATGTGTTTGACATATACCGTACCTACCATACATACAATACCAAACATACATGCCATACATACCATACCTACCTTACATAGGAAACATTCCATACCCATCATAGTAACCATACATACCATACAGACCATACATACTGTCATATCAAACATACCCTACCCGACTTACATACCATACCTACCATACATTCCAAACATGCCATACCAGACCGACCATACACACCATACATGCCCACCATACCATACCACACCCCCACCACACCACAAAGGGGGACCCATGACCATGGCCCGGGGGGAGGGGGGTTGGAACATTTGTATGTTTGTTTGTTTGTATGTATATATGTATATACTGTATACAGCTATGTATAGATATGTTTCTCCCAACCGCAACATTTGTTCAAACTGGCCACAGCTCCGCCACAGCTCCGGCCTCTGGGCGATCCATCATGACGTTGTCCAAGTGCAACCTGGAACTCCTTTGGGCCGGAGATCTTTGGTGCTTCTGCCATGGAAACCTATGGGAAAACATGGAAAATTAACATATGAGGTTGTAATCATGGGAATATTTGGGATATAATTGGAATAAACATACAAAATAAGGAGAAGTATACGGAATTACACCTAACATCAACATGTCGGGATATACCCGGAATATAAATAGAATGGGGTAATGGCTATGAATCAATATCAGTGAGAATCTAACAGTTTGCAGTGGAACATGGCGATCAAAATAATAGGTAAATGATCTGTACATGGATAATCTGCAATGGCTATTTTCAATTACCAGAAGATATATGGGTGAACCATCATCCCAAGAGAATCTAGTTGATAATACTGCTCTTTCGGGGGATTTGGATCACCAGTTGGTGCTGGTTTGTAGTTCAGTGTAGAGGGTATGTCTCGAAATTGGCGACCCAATGACATCCCAGAGTTTGTCAGCAACTTTCGCACTATGTGATAGCATTTTGGGGTATCCCTCAAGGCTTGACACAAACCCATATCAACGATTCATTGATGAATTGGTTATTTTCAGTGGTTAGATCCGAATTTTGGCAGCTGTCCATTTTTGGGAGAATTTCCCGTTCATATCCACAATTGCTGGATATAAACATGGATCTGGATAGATTAAAATAATTCACTAAACATCACTAAACTGAAATTGCGTCATTTGGGGATGATTCCCTTACTAACCATCATTCCAGTGACGTCGCCATTATAAACTATCTAGATGTATGTGATATATATATATACATACATATTATATATATATGTATAGACAGTCTACACACATATCAGATGATTATGCATTTATTCACTCAATCCCCATCACATCCAGCTAGATCTCCAAATCGGCCAGGCTGCTGTGAGAAATTGCCAAGAACCATGTTGGCCTCCACAATTCTCCTGGGCAACCCGAAATGATGGGTTAGGGGGTTATTATAGATATATAGATAACATATAATATATCGATATTTTTTTTGCGGGTTATAGATATCTAACTAGTTGGTGGGTATAATTCATATAGATTATTATGTCATGAACATGTAACTGCAACTTGACATATCAAAAAAACAAGATGAAGCCCACGAACCCGAATGCTCACACGTATGTTAATGGCACAGATGTCAAAACACATGGTTACGCAGTCACGCACAATACCTTTCTGCAATAGTTTATTTGAACAGTCTTGTACATGTTTCCCTTGTTACCAGTCTGCAGTGTGGAGTGTAGAGTGTGGAGTGTGGAGTGTGAAGTAAGGAGTGTGGAGTGTAAAGTGTGGAGTGGGGAGTGTAGAGTGTGTAAAGTGTAGAATGCGGAGTGTAAAGTGTAGAGTGTGGAGTATGGAGTGTAAAGTGTAGAGTGTGGAGTGTAGAGTGTGGAGTGTGGAGTGTAGAGTGTAGAGTGTGGAGTGTAAAGTGCAAAGTGTGGAGTGTGCAGTGTAAAGTGTAAAGTGAGGAGTGTAAAGTGTGGAGTGAGGAGTGTGGAGTGTGGAGTATAAAGTGAGGAGTGTAAAGTGTGGAGTGAGGAGTGTGGAGTTTGTAAATTGTAGAGTGTGGAGTGTGGAGTGTAAAGTGGGGAGTGTAGAGTGTGGAGTGAGGAGTGTAAAGTGTAGAGTGTGGAGTGTGGAGTGTAAAGTGTGGAGTGTAGAGTGTGGAGTGTAAAGTGTGGAGTGAAAAGTGTGGAGTGAGGAGTGTAAAGTGCGGAGTGTGGAGTGTAATGTGTAAAGTGTGGAATGTTGAGTGTTGAGTGGAAAGTGTGGAGTGTGAAGTGTGGATTGTAAAGTGAGGAGTGTGGAGTGAGGAGTGTAAAGTGTGGAGTGTGGAGTGAGGAGTGTAAAGTGCGCAGTGTGGAGTGTAAAGTGTGGAGTGTGGAGTGAGGAGTGTAAAGTGTGGAGTGTGGAGTGTGGAGTGTAAAGTGTGGAGTGTAAAGTGTGGAGTGTAAAGTGTGGAGTGTGGAGCGTAAAGTGTAGAGTGGAAAGTGTAGAGTGTGGTGTGTAGAGTGTGGAGTGTGGTGTGTAAAGTGAGGAGTGTAAAGTGTGGAGTGAGGAGTGTAAAGTATAAAGTGTGGAGTGTGGAGTGTACAGTAAAGTGTGGAGTGTGGAGTGCGGAGTGTGGAGTGGAAAGTGTACAGTGTGGAGTGTGGAGTGTAAAGTAAGGAGTGTGTAGTGTAAAGTGTGGAGTGTGGAGTGTAAAGTGTAGAGTGTGGAGTGTGGAGTGTAAAGTGTAGAGTGAGGAGCGAGGAGTGGAAACTGTAGAGTGTAGTGTAAAGTGTTCAGTGTGGAGTGTAAAGTCTCAGGTGAGGAGTGAGGAGTGTAAAGTGCAAAGTGTAAAGTGTGGAGTGTAAAGTGTAGAGTGTGGAGTCTAAATTGTAAATTGTGGAGTGTGGAGTGTAAAGTGTAGAGTGTGGAGTGCGGAGCTTCCCCCATAGACACGGCGACGCCACAGGAAAACCAGAGACTCGAGACGAGACACGTGGGTGCAAAAAAACGAGCATTTCTTGCGAGACTTCCTCCAATTTTGATATGTTCGACACGGTATCAAACAGGTTGGAATGTCACAAAGTACCACGCCTGCCACGCAAAACGACATGACAACCTGCTTGGACACATTCGAATAGGAGATGTTTTCCAGCTTCCCCCATAGACACGGCGACGCCACAGGAAAACCAGCGACTCGCGACAGAACACGTGGATGCAGAAATAACAGCATTTCGTACGAGACCTCCTCCAATTTTGATATGTTCGACACGTTATCAAACAGGTTGGAATGTCACAAAGTGCCACGCCTGCCACGCAAAACGACAGGACAACCTGCTTGGACACATTCGAAAAGGATATGTTTTCCAGCTTCCCCCATAGACACGGCGACGCCACAGGAAAACCAGCGACTCGAGACAAGACACGTGGATACAGAAAAACCAGCATTTCGTACGAGACTTCTTCCAATTTCCAGAGTTGGCAACATAACAAAAGGACAAGTTTTGCAGCTTCCCCCATAGACACAGCGAAGCCACGGGAAAACCAGAGACTCGAGACGAGACACGTGGGAGCACCAAAACGAGCATTTCGTACCAGACTTCCTCGAATTTTGACACTTTGCAGCTTCAAAATCGACGTTTTCCTACGAGTTTTCCTTAGAACCCGAAAATTGGCAACATCAAAATCGATGTTTCGTGCGAGGCTTCCGTCAATTTTCAGCACATCGCACAAAATGCCACGCCTGCCACGGAATTTGCACCTTGTCGCCACTTGACGCAGCCCTGCCAATGCGATTTACAAAAAACACGCAACACGACACGTCTAAAGTGCTGCGCCTGCCAAGAAAAATGACGATGGACACGTCCAAAGTGCTGCGCCTGCCACGAAAACTGCAACACATCTTCTAAAAACGTCACAAAAGTATTGCGCCTGCCACGCAAAACGATTTTCAACACGTTGCAGAACACGTCTGAATGTCACAAAGTGCCACGCCTGCCACGCGAAACGAAGCAACGACACGTCTGAAACCTCCAAAAATGACCACCTCTGCAAAACTTCCCATAGGCACGGCCATACGGAGTTCGTACGAACGGTTGCGAACGGTTGCGGACGGTTGCGGACGGTTGCGAACGGTTGCGAACGGTTGCGAACGGTTGCGGGCGCGGACGCAACGTCGAGCGAACACTCTCTCAACCCCCAGACCCCCAGAGTGAAACGGGAACCCTTGCAATGCATTCGGGAATGAGAAATGAAACAATGAAAACACAGCTTAGATAATGTTGGATATCCATCTTATACTTGAAGTAAGAAGCCCAATAGCTCTTGCTATCGGAGGGAAATGTGTAAATCCTTTTTTTTTTTGTTTCTCGTGTTCTTGCTTTTATATCATATATACCAGAGTCATTTTCCCGAAGATCTACCCTCTGGTAAACTAACATAACTATGGAAAATCACAATTTTTAAGGGGAAAATCCACTATAATTGGGTCATTTTCAATAGCTATGTTAGTCATTGCCAGAGGGTATCAGAATCCACCATCGTCCCAGCGTCGTATTGTCCAGGATGCAACTCTCGGGCTGGATGCAGCGGTGGATGATGCGACCCTCGTGGAGGAAGGCCCTGAGTCCATGGGTCCATGGGGACGATGTATGGATTTGGGATATCAAGGACAAATCGACACCATGATTACACTATGATTTATATTGATTTATGATAAATCCAATCCTATATTCTTGTTTGGATTGGATGGGAATTATTTGGAGTGGGATTTACTGGGATTATTTGATGGGATGAAATGTGGCTGATGGAGATAAAACTAACCATAAACAGAGGCTATAGTCAACCCTGGTAATGTTGATATGATGGCATCATCATTGGAGTTTTCAACACTGTTCAATGGTCTTTGGGATATGTAGTGAAGATATAAGAGGGAGACACACAACCAGAAAGGGTATGGAAGAATTAGTGGGTCCATTTCATGATCCCAAACTTGTTTTAAAATAGATCTATAATGGGTATACAATGGGAATGTAGTGTGGATATATCGAGATATAAGTTGCAATTTCACTAAACATTCAAGTGGGGACAAGCGCGTTTCGCACCATGTGCTTGATGGAAAAATAAAAACAGTGTAGGGAAATATTTCATGATGGATAACCCGATGTAGGCAGTTTGAACAGGGAACATTATTATTTTCAGTCACAACCATGGTGAAAGAAGCTGGAAGTAGGTTGAAGTTGACGCTTAGCCGTCTTGCAATACAATACCTTATGAAAATACAATACCCTTATGAAGAGACCCCTGGATGTCTAGCAATCTCCAATCAACTCACAAACAATAACATCCACCAATGGGTCTTAAACTTCAAAAACAGATACGCAATTGAACAAAAGGGAAGCAGATTCTTTACTTGTGTGTTTTTGTCCACCAGTCAGGTATCGACATGCAAAACCCTACAATATCATAGACAAACCGACAAATCATGGACAATCTTGTGACAGTTGGCGATGTACTGTCAGATGCATTGGGATCCGTCTGACATCATGTTCATTTTGATGTTGGAACCATCGGTCCCTAGTAACTAAGGATTTCAAGGATTTCTATTATCCCATAACCACCGGGTCATCCAATCAGCATCCACCGCTAGGAGCCCCAACAATGCGCTCAGGAGTTGGGAAATCCAGGCGATGGCCAGGGAAACCTATTCGAAGCATTGATTTCCACGCGAAATGCCGGCGTTTTTTTTTCATGTGTTCGTTGTCTCCCAAATTTTGAGTTGAGTGAAACTTTTCAGATATGTTTTTTCAATTAATGGCAAGTGAATGGTATCTGTATCTTGTCAACCTTGGTAACATTGGGACTTGGATGACCAAACATCTCCGCCTCAACTCCGGGCGACAGCCGGCGCAGTGCTGGACTGGCGAACTGGCCTAGATCTGGGAGGCTCCGAAGTCATGGATCAAATGGATCAAATGGATCATCTCACAGTGATATCACAGTGATATCACCATGATAACCACAGAAAAATGTCATTTAATGTCCCAAATTGGTTGGTTTATATCCACATTAATCCCCACCCACATTAATCCCCACTATATCGCCCATCAATCAAACCCTGGGTTTCATCATCCGACACACTGGGTAAATCGCTATATCTCATTACATCATATTCTTGCTATATATCCACTACGGTATGTTTTAATACCCAATCATCACCATTGTATCCACATGATAGTTGGTCGTATCCCCACTTTTTTACCAACATGTTGGCTAACGTGGAAAACCCAATGCCATAAAGTATCCCCAAGTTTGCGGTTTCTGAAATTGAGTACGCCCCGTTCTGACTGGGATGATGTGCCATGTATGACCCAGTCACAGCTGCCCCCAAAAGTTGGATGCTGACTATGGCGCTGGATGCATTCCATGTGGGGATACAACATGGTAACATGGTGTAATGATATCATATCATACATACCTATGTCCACACACACACATATATATATATATTATTATATACCAGTAGTGCCGCGCAAGGCGGTGGCGGAAGTTTCAAGAATAGGAAGCCTATAGGAGAGGTTGGTTGTTGTGAATCACGGATGGGAGAGCGAATCCACTGCTGGACCGTAAGGTGGTTGGAGTTGTGTTTTTTGGAACGGTTGCAATGGCAGTGGTCACCTCACCACAACTGCTGGATGTAACCACAACTGCTGGATGTAGTGTGGTGTAGTGCGGTTGTAGTTGTGGTGTAGTTGTACTTGTAGTGTAGTGGAGCTGTAGTTGTAATGTAGTGTAATTAGTGTAGTGTAGTTGCAGTTGCGGTTGTAGTTGTGGTGTGGTGTAATTAGTGTAGTGTAAAGTAGTGCAGTTGTAGTTGTAGTGTAGTGTAATTCGTGTAGTGTAGTGTAGTGCAGGGTAACGTAGGGGTAGTTGTAGTTGCAGTTGCAGTTGCAGTTTTAGTTGTAGTTGTAATGGAATGTAATGGAACTAGTGTGGTGTAGTGTTGTGTACTGTAGTGTAGTGCATGCAATGTAGTGTAGTTGTAATTGTAGTTGTAGCTGTGGTGGTGGTGGTAGTAGTAGTAGTTGTTGTTGCTGCTTTTTGTGTTGCTGTTGTTGTTGCTGTTTCTGTTTCTGTTGTTGTTGTTGTTGTTAATGTTGTTGTTGTAGCTGTAGTGCTATTAGTGTAGTGTAGTGTAATCAGATGTAATCAGTGTAGTGTAGTGCAATTAGTGTAGTGTAATGTAGCGTAGTATATTTTGGCATTATTATTATTTGTAGCAGTAGCAGTAGCAGTAGCAGTAGCAGGAGGAGTAGTAGTAGTAGTAGCAGCAGGAGGAGCAGCAGCAGCAGCAGCAGCAGTAGTAGTAGTATGCAGAAAGCAGTATGTAGAAAGTAGTATGTAGAAAGCAGTATGTAGAACGTAGTATGTAGAAAGTCAAATGTAGAAAGTCGTATGTAGAAAGTCGTATGTAGAAAGTAGTATGTAGAAAGTAGTATGTAGAAAGTAGTATGTAGAATGTAGTTGTAGTCGTAGTTGTCTATCTATCTATCTATCTATCCATCCATCCATCCATCTATCAATCAATCTATCTGTCTGTCTGTCTATCTGCAAGCTTGAAAACGAAGCTATTCTGCGAGACTTCCTTAGTTTTTGAACTTGACAACATCAAAAACGCAGCCATTCTGCGAGACTTCCTCAATTTTTGAACTTGACAACGTCAAAAGCGAAAGAATTCTGCGAGATTCGACAACATCAAAAACGAAGCAATTCTGCGAGACTTCCTTCAAAAATGGAAAGTTGAGTGCAGAGCTGACGGCCTCGTGCCAATGCGTTTTGCGATTTTTCCACTCCACCTGTCTAAAGTACTGCGCCTGCCACGAAAAAGTGATGTCAGGTCATGCGAAGTGCTTCATTTGTCACGCAAAATCATCTGAGCAAACCTAAAGATCTCATGCTCCAAAATGCAACCCTTCTCAGGAAATCTACGCCCTGATCTCCTAACACATCTAACTCATGTGTCTCTTGTACTGCGCCTGCCACGCGAAATGCATCTTTGAAGATCCTCTTCAAATGTCCCACGCCTGCCATCGTTTTTGGAAATGCTACAAAACTCTCTCTTTTGACAAAGTCGACAATCCCTTGCGCCTGCCACGCGAAAGCACATCTGAACGCCCAAAAGTGGTCCGAGACCGTCAGTTTTTAACACTTTTGACTTGGAAATGTGCTTCGCGCCACAACGGCGTGCGCTTTTTCGACATGTCAACTTCCAAAAGTGCTCCGAAGCCGTCAGTTTTTAACACTTTGACATTGAAATGTGCTTCGCGCCACAACGGCGTGCACTTTTTCGAAATGTCAACTTCCAAACGTGGTCTGAGAACGGTGTGTTTTATACATTTTGACTTGGAAATGTGCTTCGCGCCACAACGGTTTGCACTTTTTCGACATCTCAACTTCCAAAAGTGCTCCGAAGCTGCGGTGTTTTGTACATTTTGACTTCGACATGTGCTTCGCGCTACAACGGCGTGCAATTTTTCATCTCTCATCTGGCCAGATTGCTCCGCACCCGCCGCTTTAGCGAGCCTACTTTTCGACCCGCTGGAGCCACAAATCATTGGAAAAACACAGTGTTTCGCGACTTTCCTACCTTTTCGCGCACCTGGATCTTCTTTCTTCTAACTGTCTCTTCTTTGATCCTCTTTCTTCTTTTCTCTTCTCTTCTGACTGTCTCTTCTTTGATCCTCTTTCTTCTTCTCTTCTCTTCTCTTACTCTTCCCATCTCTGCTTTTCATCTGTCCATATTGTCGGAAGTTTGACTTATAAACTTCCTGTGATAATTATACATAATATATACATACATGAAATCATATGAATGTATGTATATATACTCCTGGAGGAGATAGAATATGACATGTCAAAAAAAAAGACTCCAAAATGGTATGTTTCGTATGTTGCAGCGCCACCAAGCCACGCAGTGCCATGGCGTCCGCCAGGTGTCCGCCAAAACAGAGCTGCGTCACCAGCGACACCGGCGTTTCTCCAGCGCCGGCGCCCTTGGCGACGAAGAGGTCCAGCCTTGGTGAACATGAAAGTCATGAAACTTCTGGGCATTGCCATGTCTCAGTTTCACTTGAGACTCGACTTGAGACCATCTGAACATGCCTAATTTAGTGGGAATAGAATAGGGAAACGATGATGAACACTAGGAGTGTTTTTCTTGATTTGGTGGGATCCCATCTTCGATGTTTTTCCAAACACGATGACTTTAAGTACTAATGATGACGTGGATGTTTGATGCTCTTTCACCGTCAAACATCGGATTTCAACTATCTATGGATGTTTGGGTAGTGATGTCTATTTAGGAGAGTTAGCGGAATTCGTATTCATTTTTGACTGCAATTCACCCTTGACTATGTGGCTAATTTTGATGCTCAAACAGAGATGGGGATGTTTAACCACCGAAAATGGTGAGTCTAACTACAAACAATAGGAATCATCGGTTTACCATGAACAGTGGGGATGGGTCACAACCTATGAATTTCTCTGATATTGCGGTGCTTTACGAATATCTATGAATCCTCAAAATGCGATCTTCCAAGAAAAATGAAAAGCCGGAATTCTTACCAACAAGACGAGAACATCTTTCAGGAATGCTGTGCCATCAAGCTTGGTTACCTTCTCTCTCTCTCTCTCTCCCTCTCTCCCCCCGGCAGGGTGACATCTGGTGCGCCCCACTATGGCCCAGCAATGTCAGGAAGAGTGGGCCCAGTGACACGGCCAAGAGGTTGGGATGCACCCCCAAGTCCTGCATGGCTTTCAGCACCAAGACATCCATCTCTGGCACCTGAAGCCTCGATACCGCGAGGTGGACGAACAAAACATGGGATGTCATCATTGTACCCATGAAATATGTAGCAATGATGAGAAATGACCAGATAATGGGAATTTCTAATAACATGGAAAAATCATGGAATACAACAATTCCGATTGGTTATGCAGTATGCCCAATATAAACCCAGTGGTAGTCTCACGGCCAAAGATATCGATGGAACCAGAGTTGAGTCTGTCTGAAGACAGAAAGTATCCAAAGAAAAAAACATGCGACATCTCTAGGGTATAATCCATTCTTGCAAAACAAATCATGTCGCATTGTTGGTCATATCCCATCCGATTCCGACGATGGCTGGTGATTTATCGTACCACCCCCAAAGGATAACAAAATGGCAACCCTTCTGAAACAGTGACATGTATCGGTTCTATCTCCATAATTTTTGGTTATATCTCCACCATTGCTACCCAGATATGCCAGGGTCATGGCACCAACATGTGGTATGGCCATCCCATACCGGAAATCCCAAATTCCAGGTTCTGAATGAAACATCCCTTGCTGAACATGGATTCTTGTTTTTTTTTTGGATTCTTACATACCATGAATCCAATGACTGGAATACATACCAATGACTGGGATACATAGCATTTTTTCATTGGATACATACCAATGACTGGCTGGTTGGTGGTTTCAACCCCTCTGAAAAATATTAGTCATTTGGGATGATTATTCCTAATAAATAGAAAAATATCCAAATGTTCCAAGCCATCAACCAGCTGGGTGTTAATCTCCCAATGGACTTTTTCATAGCTGTTCATCTCTCAATGGATCCAAGTGACACCACCTGGTTTGTGCCAAAGCTGCTGGCGCAGCTGGCAATGCGCCGGGCATCCCACATGTAACCTGCCAAATCAAAATCAATGATGGTCAATCATGGCTGATTACCTTTAATAATGGGTGATTATGGTTGGTAGTGGTTAATTATAGCCCTGAAACCAGTTATAATGTTAGTAAAGCAATGTCGTAAACCATGCATATGGGTTGATGGTTTTATAGAAACCATCCATAAAAAAGTGGGGATGGTTTATTATTGCTTGATTGACATTAAGAGACATGACATCAGCTACAAAAATGGAGACTTAAACCCTCATGATACAGAGATACATAACGATGGTAGCATGATATAGTGACGCTACATCATCCCAAGTACAGCTTCGAAAATCAGCCAATTAAAATCCATTGATCCACCATGTTCCTTAGGGCAAGTTCTCAAGTATCCACCAGTTCCTTACGATTTCAATTTCCACATTGACAAAAATACTGGGGGATTCCTGTTCAGATCTCACATTTTTGATGGTCAAACATCACTATTTTGTTTCAAAAATCATGGCGTTGGGAACTCTCATAACATGAAGTGAGGAATCCCCATGAAGACCATCCTGCCCCATCAGTTGGGATTCTCATCGGAAAAAACCTCCAAAGTGAGTTACCATCGGAAAACTGCTGAACCTGCAAAATGGGTACATAATTTTGAGGAAAATCATTAAAAACATAGATCATCAACATCAAAAATCATTAAAACATCTCAGTCATCATCAAAATTTGGAGGTACCCGGGATGCCCAAAACCATTTAAGGCACCTGGCACGCTGGCGCCCAGCAAATGCGGGGTACGCCGAGGTAGTCGGGCTACCTGCCATGGAAGGCAAATGCCTACAGCCCTGAAATCATTCACATATTATATATATATGTATATATATATATGTGTGTGTGTAACATCTAAATAGATGTAAAACTTCTCTCTTTTTCTTCCTTCTGTCCTCTCCCTTTTTAAACCTAGTGCAGGGGGCAGTGACAGAGTCTGTGGGATCACTGCCAACGAAGACGCCCACATTCTCTGGTGATGCATCGGGAGACGTCCTGATGTGTACCTGCAGAACTCAGTTTGAACTGTTTGTCCTGTTGTTGCACTGTTGCCGCAATCTGGGAGAACTTCTATTATTCATAGGATGCATCGTTAATTTCTGTGTTTCTGTTCTAATCTGCATATTTCAGGATTCAGTTCCTGCCGGATCATATAATGATCAATTCTTGTCTAGTGTGATTCCTATGGTGACTCCGACATGGTGCCATAGGGCCAATTGAGGCAACCCTGTTTAGGGTGAATGTCGACTGACCGGAATTCTGAATTCACACATTTTAATTTGGTAATTCGTTTAAGTAAAGTGCAACAGTCTGCCTTACTGTTATCCACCGTTTTTGGAGATTCTCGCTGCTCCGGCTGTCCCTTGTGAACCCTGTGGAATGCAGTTCTTTGAGTGTGAAGCTGTACGGAACAATCAGAAACCTCTCCTTTTTTGCAGCAATCTCACAGCGACACAGCATCATGTCATGACAAAGGAACCAGGCAGGCACACGACTTCCAGGTGTGGTCTTTTTCTTTTGATGGTTTTCTGGTGAGGTCAAACATATTGTGCACCTAATTCGTTGGAACCTGGAAGCTGTTATATGCCGATTGGGGCAAGAACTGACAACGGGCCTGGAGTGGCACAATTGCACGACCTTTAGGTTTAGGAACTGAATCCTGTTGTTTTACTAATTGTTTTGGTTTTCCTGTCTGTCATCAACTAGTCCCCCATTTGGTCCCTAATTTCCCCGCGTGCTTCTCCGTAATGTGTCGTGGGGTTTAGGTGCGTGCGCTGTTTTGGTCAGGTCCGTTTCGCCGTGTAGGTTGGTTCCGGAGGTCCGTCTGTTCCCCTCCCCCCCCCGCGCTGTTTTTGGCCTTTTGCCCTTCGTGTGTCCGCTTTTTTCTTCCTCTTGCCTTTCAGGGTTGACCCGGCTCTGGCCGGGTGTGTGTGTGTGTAACATCTAAATAGATGTAAAACTTCTCTCTTTTTCTTCCTTCTGTCCTCTCCCTTTTTAAACCTAGTGCAGGGGGCAGTGGCAGAGTCTGTGGGATCACTGCCAACGAAGACGCCCACATTCTCTGGTGATGCATCGGGAGACGTCCTGATGTGTACCTGCAGAACTCAGTTTGAACTGTCTGTCCTGTTGTTGCACTGTTGCCGCAATCTGGGAGAACTTCTATTATTCATAGGATGCATCGTTAATTTCTGTGTTTCTGTTCTAATCTGCATGTTTCAGGATTCAGTTCCTGCCGGATCATATAATGATCCATTCTTGTCTAGTGTGTGAAATATTCTATCCACCATGTTTATATGCATACAATACATGTAAAATCATGTAAATATGTTTTTTAAAATATAATCATACACGTAATGGGTTAATTGGTAAATTGGTATAACCTAGTTATGTATGGGATGTAACAAGGCTTTATCCGTCCTTATTTCATCTAGACTAGATTACACCGTCATGCCTCGTGTATCAACTGGGACATCCAAGTAGGGTTGGAAAATGATGAATTGATCTTGTGGAACATGCGTGTTTTATTTGACGGAACTGAACTCATTGAAACTCACCATGCAAACTGACAAACAGGTTTGTTTTTGGTTCTGGTTGGAACCTGCTACTATTGGATTTTACGTTCAAATTCGTAGTAACACTAGTGAAGATATTTGACCAAACAAAAGGGGTGTTTAAGCAAACTATGGCCAGATTGGTGGTTAAACGACCCATCCCAAATACATTGGTTGATTAAATCTAATCACTAATCCGAAGTTCCAATGTTGGTTTGAAAAGGACAGCGTCTTTTACTGGAAGTTCTTCTCGATTGCGGGACGTTCCAAATGTGATTCTTGGGTGGGTCGGTCTATTGAATCTTTGCCTGGGGGTGTGACCTTGGTAGCGTCTTGAACTGCTGAATTTGTCTCAAAATTGGGCTTTGTATCAGGGGGCTCTCGGTACTTATTAAATCAAAACCACGGGATTTTAATATGTTCTAAGTTCTAATGGTGAACCGTGCGACATTGGGGTACCCTATTGCGGGACACGCCGAAAAACACCAGTCCCACCCTTTGAACCTCTATCGGCAATCGTTGCTCTGCGCTGGGCATGCCCTTTAAATTTTGCCCCATCGCCGCACATTGGAAATTTGTTGTGGTGCTTGTAAACATTCTGACAATGTTTGAGCAAAAACAATTTGGGTTGGTGGAACTGTCACGTGTCTTCAAGAATAACTTTGAAATTACCGTGGGCAATCAAGACATAGCGGCTATTGGTGGTATCGTTTTGGCAATTTCTATCAACTTCAACGGTGCTTTTGGCATCCTTGAGCAACGTTGTTTCCGGCCTGTTTGAAATATATGTATATATATATGTAGGTTCTTTGAGAATACGGTAGTCCCACTTGATGATTTTCCCCGTTAAGCTTGAGCTTTTGAATCCCCACATGCCATATTCAGGCAAACCCATATCTTTGCATGCCATGTTTTTACAAACGACGAAAGGCCGAAGTGCATACAGAGTCTGCGCTGCAGCCCTGGTGCCTCAATAGTAGCACGCTTTCCGAATTTCCCCGGACACATGATGTGAACGAAAGTTCAATTCTTTCACTGGTTGGTTTTGTGGTGCCAAGCCATCTGAACCATTGGTGCTAATTTTGTGCTGGCCCGGATGGAATGTTCAGTCAGAACTTGATTTTAGTGACAGAAAATGATATACAGAAACCACCGCCCGTTCCAAGTGCGTTCCGCTGGTCTGCTAAATCTCAATTTGTTCAACACAGTCAACACAAATTCAGCCTGTTGCCTTCCCATTCACTGCCATACGCCGGGCGCCCCGGGCCGTATGCGAGTTGCATGCAAGGTGAAGAAAACCTATGCGCTTGGAGTTGCTGCAAGCGTGTGGTGGAAAATGTTGGAGCGTTGGAGAACCGTTGGTGCGTAAGAGCAGACCGCAAACCCAAAAAATCAGTGCAAGCGCCTACAAAAACCGGCATGGCTCTGAATAGGAAATCTGTTTTTGAAGTTGGCAGCCGCGTCCACAATTTGGAAAATGACACGGTCTCCCTGCCGCCTTCTGGTTGATCGGGTGCCAAGCTACTTCCTGTCATGGTGGCTTGTCACAGTTGAGAAAAACGAAGGCCAGCCCAGCTCCGTCAGAAAAGCTCTGGCGCTAAGAACGCGCAGTGCGGGCCACACAACTGAGGCAGTGCGGTGCTGCTAGGCATGTTACGCAGCAACTATTTGCGAGCTGAGCCCAGTGCTGCGTGTTGCCAGCAAACAAACACAAGGCGCTTTGTGACTGCGACCTGCCACATGAGTTCCGCGCTCTCTGAGCTTTCATGTGTTTTGAGCTGTCAATTCATAATAAAAACGATTCATTAATAAGACACGGCTGATGTGCAATGCAGAAGCAACAGGATTGCTGACCTTTTCGAGCGCGTGACGAGTGATCAAAGAGGCCTGATGGATGACACGTTGTGCGTTCAGTGTGCTCTGCTCTGCACAGCAGTGATTTCACCTCTCTCTGAAATAACCGTTTGGTTTCGATGATCTGAAACTTACAATCCGACAAGAATGTTTGTATCACCCTGGTATTTGGTTTATAAGCCTCTTAGGCGACACTAAGGCTAGATTGGATAAACGCTTTTGTGTGACCGTTGAATTGGACCCTTTTTTGTACCGTCAAACCCTTTCGAGGACCTGCCGCGAGTGTCAATATTCATTTCCCAATGGTGACCACAGAAGAAAAAGCTGTCGATATATGATAACATATCCTAGACAGCTAAATCCAGTTGATCATCGATCTTAAACAGCCCAGTGATTTTGAGGGCAACTGAACTTTTTCGCTCCCTCTGCGAGATATGACCATTCCGGATCAGAACTTGGCCGAGTTCTTGGATTTGGATGGGAACAAACCATTGCCATAGCTAGCCTCCAGTACATCAATCTGTGATACTCTGCAAAAGATTCGATGTTTGCTGGGTAATTGCTATATATATATAGATATTCCTCCATCTATGGCAACAGATAAGAGTAATCCACCCTCGAGATTGACACAACTAGAAACCCCATGACTTGGGGTCCCAAACAGTGGGGGTAGCATCCAGTAAACCAACATAGATATGGAAAATCCACCAGAAATGCAGATCATTAGATGGGTCTGCCCTCATACTTCCCTAATGAAATCAGCATTTTTCCGTGGTCAATCACCATTTTTTCCCATGGTTTCAGGGTCACATCCTCCAGCTTCAGGGAGAAAAAGATCAGCTCCTTGGGTGGATCCTCGCTGAAGTGCAATTTCAGCACAGTTGAAGTCTTCCCAGTGGTGGGATCTAACCTCGGTGGAGATGTGGGATGAGAATGGCATCTGATTCGACCTGGAGACTATGGAGACCTGGAGGGGCTGGGATGAGTCTCATCGAAGCTGGGCACCAACTAATATGATGTAAGATGATCATATGGGGCATATCCTAAAGAAATCTTGACCAAATGAGGATGGGTGAAATCCTGAGACTAGCTATTTTTGTTTGTCCCATATTGTTGGTAGAAAAATCTTTCCACTCCAAGGCCTCCATTAAAGTTTATGGCTGATCATCATTGATCTCCTCATTTGCAATTTTATACCCCGATTTGGTGCTTGCGACGGTATTCAAACGGGATATGGACTAGCCTCCAAATCACTGATAATTGGGGGGAATCATTTTGGATACAGAAACATTGATCTCCAATGTATCTGTATATTTCCCATCTTGAGTTATTGTGTGCTCTTATCTGGTAGCTAGACCATTTGATTCTCCCATCATATTCCATTCTTGTACGCTCACCATCTGGAGGTTTCCTAAAATTGGGGTACCCCCAAATCATCCATTTTGGTAGGGTTTCCCATTATAAACCATCCATTTTCAGGTACCCCATTTGTGGAAACCAGCATTTTTGGTGGGACGTCCATGTATTGGGGACACCTGCCGATAGGTGGAGAGAGTAGCGTCCTCACAGGCCTTGGCCGCAACCCCGGTGACACCTGGTCCATACTCTCTGGTAAACATACAAAAAACTATGGAAAATCACAATTTTAAATAGGTAAATCCACTATTTCTATGGCAATTTTCAATAGCTTTTGGTATGTTTACCAGGCCGGGTATATCCTGGTTGCTGGGTAAACCAACAAACCCAACAGTGGTCACCTTTGGGTGTAAAATTTTGTATTTGACTGGCGCAAGGTCGATCTCCAACTATAAATAAAGGAACTTTGGGATCATAATTTTCACTGGAAAACAAGGCATTTAGATCATTTAGTTGGGGATATCCACTTATCAAACTTTCGGGAAAACTTGGGAGACCAAGGCTGGTGGAATTCCCAAGTCGGCGTCCAGCGACGGGAGGGAGACCAAAAATGGGAGATCCATTTTATCATCAAAAATGGGTTCCAAAAATGGAGAAACCTCGGTATTGGAGCATTTTCAGGCACTTGGCGAACCTTTGAAGCTGGTGATATGGCGACTCTATTCTATTGGTGATATCGCCTTTTCAGTTGGTTTTATGCCTAATTCTTTGTTGTATGGGTTGTTAGATCTTTATTGGCTGTATCAGTTACATCCCAAGTTCCATTGGTCACACCTGTTATACTGGTTGGTTTCATAGGATTTCCAATACTAGACTGTGTCAATCCCATATAATCCAAATTTTATCACTAGCATATGGGTTTTCCAAGATACTGGATAGTGTATCCCATATAACTCCACATGATATCAGCCTCGGATCAATAATTTCATGAGTTTACCAATTGGGGTAATGTTGGTAAAACACTACTAAACTACTAAACCATCAGTCATCACCATTTTTATAGGGTATGTGTACCTTTCCCAGGAAAATGGGTGGTAAACATGGCATTGTCTTCCCCACATGCTGGGGCATCCAGGGTCCCATAGGCTCCCATGCCACGAGGAGATGTCCATCGTCCGGTTTCAAGGCACAACTAGAGATGCGTGCCCCGAAGCGGATCTGAGCAGCGTTTTTTCTCTACGGGGTCATGGCTTTCATGAAGCTACGCAAGAAATTGGTGATATGTTAAGCAACAAATGGTGATGTTCATGAGCAATCATGGAATATGATGGGATAAGAATCACATGATTAATTCGTTCATGGGATAATCATGGAATTGTAAACCAACAAATATCTGGACATGTTTGAAGGTAAATGGTGGTTTAAAACATATATTGGGACGGAATGGAGTTCCATTGGGACAGATGAAGCGTATTCAAAAACCTGTTACGTCATCCCTTTATACTCGTTGGTTGATAGGGAGTCCATGATTTGATGATAAGAATATCCTGAATAATCCAGGTAGTACAAACTAATCAACCAGGCCAGGGTTTTGGTGCTCATATAGCAGGGGTTTAACGCTGATAGAAGACCCGTCAAAATGGGGGTATAAATGGGATATAGTGGGATATAACCAACAATGTATAGTTTGGGAAATGTGTTTGCTGGACACAGTGTTGTTTTGATGGAAATAGGTATTAAACCGATCAGAAAAGGAGGACAATGGGGATATCATGGAATGTAGCCACGACTATGATTTTTCGTTCTGTCCAGAAATGGAGCATACCCCAACAATTGCCAATGAATGGGAAATACAATGACGATGAAGAAGTGGATGTGGGGTAGACTCAAGGCGTGTCTCTGGTGCCCTATCATCTCCAACAAGCTCTGGATTTTGTAAATTATTTCCTCTACGTGGGAATGGGTCACAATCCAAAATGATGGCATATCCAAGTTATATCCAGTCCCCATGAAATATCCCCAGAAAAAGTGGAAGTTTCCCAATAAATCTCAGTACATCCCAGTATATCCACATGATCCCAATTATATCCCACAGATTGTGATCCTATCGAGTTTTATCGCCCAGTTTCTGGGTAAAGCCGCTTCCATTTTTGTTCATGGCGAATTCACATAACATTGCATGGCGAAACCAATTTCTGCCCACATGTTCCCCTATCTTTGAATGATAAGCAATCCAGGTTTGTAGATTTTCACACATTTTCCACCTCAATTTTCCAAATTCGTATATGTATATATATATTTCCCAGCATTTTCTAGAAGTTTCAATGAGAATTTGCCCATGCGCATCCTGCAGTGCCAAACTCAGCCAAGTTTCTTTGCTTCGGTTCCGGTTCGGGACCATCACCTCCATGTCTCGACCTGTGAAAATCTTGGCCGAAAGTGGACAACGAAAAAAAAAGATGTAAGGATACCTACAACCATTCATATACAACATGTTCGTAGAATTCATATATTTATATATATATATATACAAATACATATCATACATCCTGCACAATCATTGGACCATGGTCATAGCCACAACTGGCTTCAACTGGCTTCCCCGCCATCGCCTGATTCATCCGTAACGACGCTAAACTGGGTGTTGCAGGCCAGCCCAAAGATCTCGGACGCCACGACCACGACGTGAGGACGGCAAGAAGCCGTATTTTAGGGGAATGGTAAAAATCCAGGATTTTCTGGTGGAACATCAAATCTAAATATGATATAATATGATATCTAAATATGATATCAATATGATATCAATGATCTAAGTTTGGTATCTGACACCAACTATTTCATCTGAATGGGAACGGGGTGTGAACTACAGGGTACCAGGGCCCAACAGCGCCATAGCGCCATAGCAGCATGCTAGAGATTCAATTTATCGAAACACCAACACCTTGGCGATCATGGAACCCTGAGGCCCTGGGTCTCTCGGCTTTGTCATGACGGATTTCTGATCCTGACCATTATTTAGAATTGAATTGGCCCAGTGATGAATTGATGATTTAGTGTCGACAACACGGAACTTGCATTTACAGAAACAGTGTCCACTAGAAACAACATCTTCGGTATGCAGTCTGATTGCTACGTCCAAATTCCATGTATCAAAACGTGGGAAAACCCAACGGTCGACCAATACCTCATGGCCCGGCCCATGGATTTTCATCCGTTTTTCCTTTGAAATCCCAGGCTGATCGGACTTCGCCCCAAAAAACATCAAAACGATCAAGGTGACCTTCGGCGGCTAAATGGGGATTCACCGATTGCACCCAATTTCCAGCGGATGACGATTCGCCGTTGGCCCCTGCCTTTAGCACTCGTGGAGCTGCATCTGCGGGCAGTGGGGATATATTGGGATACAACCAGATGCAATGGAGATTTTGTATGATTTTCTGGTATAGCGCAAAGTCTTAGCCCCAGAAAAGGCGGGTCTTTTTTGGACGGCCCATTTTTGGGATCTGGAAACATCCATTTTGAGGGGTCGATCATTTTGACCCGTCCCCAAATGTATGGGGATGGGTTCAAAAAGGGGCAAATGCCTACTAAAACTTTCGGAAATCAACGTTTAACAGTGCTTTCAATAATTCACTCGATTTTCTTCCCCCTGGGAATGTCCGAAACTAGGACCCCCCTCATTCCACAGTTCCGATTGTTGTGATATTATTTCCGGACAGAACACCAGCCAGAATTATCATCAATGATTGCTTATATTCCATGATCCCAATTCTTGTCCACATTGTTATTATTATTTTCTTACTATTGTTATGATTGTCGTTGTTCGTATTATTGTCTTTGTTATTTTTGTTGCTATTGTTGCTTAACATTGTTTTGATCACTCTCATCATCATTCTTATGATCATCATTGCCATTATTGTTGCTACAATCATTATGACCATTATCCTACTACTATCCATATCGCGTAGTGTATCATTACTATCATGATTCCCAGTATGATGCAGCAAAATATTCTTTCTACCATCATGTGTGTTGTTACTTCTGTTATCGTTATCGTCGGCATTATAGTTATTACGATTATGAATTTGGAAATGATGGTTATCATATAACTATATATGTTAGAACTATACTTATTACTATTACTCTATTTCTTCTTCTTCTCCTTCTTCTTATAGTTCTTAGTATTTGCTCAGGGGTAAACGTTTACATTACATAGATACGAACAACCCGAGGTGAAACCCAGGGAACATGGTCTACAAATTAGTTGGATTTTCCACATCGGTTTACGGGAGAGTAATCTATTATAGTAGAGTATACTATAGCAACTGTGATAGAGTATACTATGTTTTTTAAATATTATCATTGTTATTTTCATCACCATCACTATGATCACACTATGGTAAACGCTATGATTCTCGGTTTGATCACTATGATCACTATCAAAACATATGGTTAATTTATCCCAGTCACATTTTTGCCCCGCACCAAACCTTCCCGTGGTCGCCTCGCACGTCTCGCAGCTCCTCATGCCGCAGCAAGTGCTGCTGACTTTGCTCGTCCAGCGCCAAGACGTTGCCGACCACCTGGTTGATGTCCCACAACGGATGGGTGAAATATATCAGAGTCGACCAGATCATGCAGACATATTATATGTATATACTGTATATACTGTATATACATCTTATATGCAAAACATATTTTAATGCTTTATATTTTAATGTAAGTGGGATTTAAATACGACCATACCTACTGTTGGATAGGGTTTTACCTTAATTGTAGTTTTGCGGTGGTAAACTCCAAGCAAACAAATTCTGCTTAGATATATGGATCACCACCAAAGGTTGATCTGGAAGAAGCAGCATGTAAGAAAGACCAAAATAGATAAATATAAAAAACAACATAGAATCAAATCAAATGAATAAACTTATCTATCATCATTGTCATCATCATCATCATCATCATCATCACCATCACCATCACCACCACCACCATCATGATCATCACCATCACCATCACCATCACCACCATCATCACCATCACCATCACCATCATAATCATCATCATCATCACCATCATCATCATCATCATTATTTCTATTATCCCAAGTATGGTTGACAATTAAGAAAGCATCTCAAACCACCAGCCGCTAACTGATTGGTTTCTTTTGCTAATTTTGGTTTCTGATATTCAAAATTCATGTTGGCAACTTATCCACGGATTGCTATCAGTGTTTGCCATAAGTTCACATATTTTTACTATAAAATGCTCCTTGTTTCCGACATGGCAAATTTCTCAGAAATGGAACATCCCAAACAAACAACTTTACAAGTTGGGGACATATGATACACATATGACTGCAGTAGTACAAATCACCCCAAATTTACCATAATATGATGTGGTCCAGCCAATGCCATAAAGTACTCCCAATAATGATATTGTCATGCGTGGGATTTAAAACATCCCCAAATGGTGGGTTTATGGCATTGGGTTTACAACATTAGACATTACTCTTGGGGATATATAGTCTCCACATTGAATAGTCGATTTACCTATAAACAACGGGGTTCTTCGCTTATGGCACGCAGAAAACCAGATGGGGGGTTTCCCTTCTCCAGGAGTACCCCCAAATCATCGAACATGGGCCATCGATTCGATGGGAAAACCGCTATTGAAACCCCTGGGTTTTTTTGGGATCCCCCATTAGCATCCATTAGCTAGGTATTACAAGACCAAAGTGGAAAAATGTATTCATATGATCAACTATTAACAGTTACCCATCATAAGTTATTAACTATTATCAACTATCAACTATTCATATCTATTAATATGATCAACCATGAATATCACCAACTAGATCATAGTACCATCTATTAATATGATAAACTAATATTATTAATATCATCAAATTAATAGTATTAACGGATAACTATTAATTATGATCAAACTATGGCTATTTAGTCATTTCCCATCCCAAGCACCGAAACGGTCTCCGTTTTTTCGCCTTTGCTGCCCGAAGTTCTCGTGCAGGAGACGCCAGACCCGGTGGACGACCTTGGTGAAATGCCCGGCAAACCTTGGGAAAAAATGGATATACCATGGAAATTATAACAGCCAAGAGGAGGATTTCACATGGATGGATTTTATCTTAGTCTGGGAATAGAGGTAAATGTAGATATAACAAGGGATAAACAGCAATCAAAACGGGGAGTTGGTGGTTTCAGGCCATTTGAAAAATAGGACAGTCATTGCTGATCATCATCGTAGGTAAAAGTGAAATAAACACACATGTTTGACACCACCATGAAACATCGAGAAACAAAGGTATAGCACCTATGCAAACGGGGATGGTATAACATGGATGGATTTAAGCGATGTTCACAGATGAAATGAAGACACCAACCTGTGGATGGGGAATGCGACACCAGGGGCTGCCCAAATGGTGAAGGACCTCATAGTTCAGTTCACTGTAGAAAAAGCCCGAGATGATGTTTGGCTGTACGATACTATACGTCTGTTGGAGAAAATCTTCATAATTCACCACGTGTGATCTGCGATCCTCACTCTCCAGCACCACACCCATCGCAATTAAAAATAACATCTGTAGTCTTTACCCACAAAAAGTAGTGGCAATATCACAATGTGACATTCATTTTCACCATGTGGGCTTTGTCTGAAAATGGGGTACCCTAGCATGAACTAAATCTTCATGCTTCGCATAGATTTTCAGAAACCTGATTCATTGGGGACTCGTCGTCCACCGTTTTGGGCAAACCCATGTCATGATGTTGGGTATTCACAAACTTCCTGATCTGATCTCCAATTCTTTCAAAGGTATCCTGGGTATATCTACCTATCTGTATCACTACTTGGGGGTCTCCATATCCTAACTTGTGGGTCGGCAGAAATCCCATAGCTCTACACATTCAATCCTATTTATAACCCTATTATACCATACTTATTGATAGTGACCCCATGGTATTTATAACCTCGTTTACACGCACCACATTTAGAGGTCACAGCATGCAGTCTCTCTGTGCGTCCCACTCATTACCCGCGGGGTCTCGATAGTCTGGTCATTGAACTGACGTGAAAACGGGGGACGGGGCGGAACTGCACTTACTATGGGGATATCATGAGGATATACTGGGAGTATATGACTTAATGGTCATTTTCATGGTTGCGAATGATGCTTCTGAATGTTTATCAATATACATTAGCATACATTAGTATTTGTTAGGGGAATCCACATATGATGGCTTAAACTAAATCTCCATGACAATGGATGACCATCATCCAAAGACAGGGTATAGGCACATGTGGCAATCATTTGCCTATGATGTACTTTTTGAGTTGGAGCAGTCCTGAATCACATGGCGATCGGGAACATTCCCGTGATTTCGGGATTGTTGTGATGACCAATTGTCAATCGGGGATCATCATCCCAAAGGTGATATCGCTGACCTGAAACCGCCAAATGGGGTTAGAAAATTATCCAAAATAGTTCTGTTATGCTTACGGAGCGCCCAGGGATCCACCAATATTTGGTTCCAAAGAGGCGTTTTGTGCTTTCGGGCGAACAAACAAAACGCTTCTTACGTTTTTCGCAATCACATGAAAGGGAAAAACGGTTTCTTTGGAAACCAGCTGCCTCCTCGAAACTTGGTGAGGTGAAACCTGGTGAAGACTTGCTGAAAACCTGGTGAAATTTCCAAGACCTGGTGAAAACCTGGTGAAAACTTGGTAAAATTTCTAAAACCTGGTGAAAACCCGGTGAAACTAATTGAAGAAACGTTTTACACCGTGAAATTTCATCAAAAAAACATGGTTTCATTTTTTGTGATATTTATCCGTTTTCGGCGGTGAAATTGAAGGCAAACCTGCTGAAAACCTGGTGAAATTTCGAAAGTTGGTGAAAAATAGGTGAAATTTGCGAAACCTGGTGATCACGTTGCAGCAATGACCCGGCCAAGCATTTCTGAGATTGTAAGCAGTTCAATGAATAATTCAAAACATCTAGATTTGGCGAGGACTTCATCAACTTATCACTTGATTTTCTATGGGAACTAACAGGTCGTTCATGAATGAAAACCCTGCTTTGACCACGGTTCCCTACCCTGCGGTAGCCAAAGACAGCAAAGGAATATTTCTTGGTCATAGATACATTGTTACATAGTCGTCTTCTCCACGCATAGCTTTACGAAGGAGAATTTCCCGTTGTCATCTTTGACTCCCGCAAGGCATCTCGCTTCGCCATGCTCCTTTTTGCCGTTGTCGGTTGAGTCTGCTGTGGGCCTTCTGCCTCCCTCCCACCGGACGGCTTTGTGCTCGTGTAGTGGGAGGGTGGCCTGTGGGGCTCTGTGCGTCTGGTGTCCTGCGGCCGGGTGCTTTGTTTGGCTGTCTATCGCCTTTTTGTCCAAAAGTTCCACAGGGTGGTATGTCAAAGTTTCGTAGATATTTCCACGCGGCAAAATTACAAGATGTATATGCATGCATTCGTGCACGGATACACACTCTCTCTCTCTCTATATAGACATATATATCTTCATCTTTAGATCAGTGCATAGCATCACAGATCTGATCTGGAATTTTGCCGAATCTATGTCCTGTAGCGATGGGATCTCTTTGATGTCAAAGCTCGGTGTCGTGCCATCATGTTGCCCGGGGGGTAGTCTTCGAAGTAATTATGGAATTCCAAATCATGGGCTGCTAGAGTCACATCTGCTTATACCTCTGAAGGTCTTAGTGTATCTATACATACGTAGACAGATAGATATGTATCACACACACACGTATGTATGTAAATATAAATATAAATATAGATATAAATATAAATATAAATCAGTGCTGCACACGTATACATAGCCCACACCAGTTCCCAAAGCCCTCCTCTCGTCGCTGGCCAGTGCTACCTGAAGGGCAACCGTGTGGGAATGTGCCAGAGGTCAGGGGATGGGAATTGGGGATGTCGCAATATAGCGAAATGGAATGGGCACTACCCTGATCTATCATTGTGCATTCGATTTTTCGTCCAGGATGTAAAGAGTGGGCTATTAGTTAGTCTTGAGTTACCTTCCCAAATAAATCTCGAACAATGAGTCTTGAACTTGCCCAACCCCCGGCCTTACGGGTTCTCAAGGAAGGCTACGAAGCGGCGCACCTCCCTGCGGTGCGATGCACTGACCAGGAGTTTCCAAAGGAACCTGACCTGCTGCTTCTCCCTCCTCTCACCACCCCTCGCCACCTGCGAATTTCGACAAGGGTTCTTGGGTTAATCGGTTCATCGGATGGCGTCTAAAATGATATATATATACTTATTTATCTTCCTGTAATAAGAGATGTTTCAATCCTGAATGGTAGATCATTGCCATATATAGCTTCAATGCTGCTCTCAAGTTTTGATCCGCGGCAATATCAGGCCATCGATGATCAACCTGTCTGCCCAAGCAATCTGTGTTGGGCGGGTAGGATCTAATTGTGCATCATGTGGTCAATCTATTGTCATCAATGTCGGCCAACATCGATGCATTTCTGTGTGCAGGCGCGACTGTTTGTTTCGTGTTCTCTTCTATGCATAAACGTACGCTTAAAGGCGGTGCAATAGCCAAGTGTTCTATGTTGTCTGCGCAGTTTTGTCATGGTTCTGTATACGTTCTGCACGGGAGGCTGTTGGTATCTGCCCAATGAATATGCAGGTCTTTGCAAAAGGAACGATCCGTATCTTAGCCGTAATGCAGAAACATGTATGCCGTAATTGCACAAGATTTGCGGAACTTAGGCAAACTGTTTTTCGCATAATCATACCATGCCGCCTGCTGGATTTGTTCTCGAAGTCACGCCACTATCAAACCATTCAGCAATCTAACGTACAAACTTCTTTCACATATACACGCACACATATGTATATATAAAAAATAGTAAAAACAATAATAATAATAATAACAATAATAATGACAAAAAAATAATTATAAAAATAAATATAACAACAACTATATATATGTGTGTGTGAACCATCTGAATAGATGTAAAACTTCAAATTTTCCAGTTTTCAAAGGCAGGGGAGTGCGGCATGATTGTGGGACCGCACTCAACGAAGCTACCACAATCATGGGATACTGGGTCTGATCAACCCAGCGTACCTGCAATTTCAATATCAGTTTTCGAATGGCCACCGGCTAAGCCAAGAACCGGCATGTCGACCATTTCCAAATTTCATTTGACATTGAAGAACTTTTCGAAATTTCTCGGGTCAGTTCACCGACCCATTCCTGTCAGGTATAACTGGATTGTTTTTGCACGTAGGATGCAGATTGTTCTGAGCAAGTGTGCTCCCTGCATCCGTTTCCCATGTCGGAGGTCCTGGGCCGTCTGCAGGCTGCGCTGCTGGTGGCTGCGTGGCGGGCATTGCCTGATGTCTGCCAGGAGTTGGCTTACGCGAGCCTTTTTGTACTGCAACTCCTTCAGGCACCGGCGGACGCGGTTCTCCTTGCCTCTGTTCAGCAGGCGGAGCAGCTGGGCGCGGCGCTGAGCAGGTCCGGCCATTTCTCTCTCAGTCTCTTGTTACATTGGTCGCGGCTGCGGTGAGCGAGTCTTTTTCTTTTTGGGGGGGTATCCATCAATTCATTGGTCGATGCAGCCACCCATCGGTTCGATGTTATCCCGTGTTTTTCCCATATTTTTAGGTGCCTTGTTTGCCCCGTCAAAATTCCAGTCAATTTTGCATGGCAAAGTGAAGCTAGAATAGATTCCGTCGACGAAACAGGCCAGTAAATCTCCATGGTTACTGCAGGTTCGAAACCGGTAACCGTGACTCGAATACCGATGTGCCCTTACTAGGGGTAAGCGCAGTTTGCCCAATCATTCATACACCTCCGCCACCGATGGCGGCTCTTTTCGAGCATGATTATATACTTTAACTATATAAGATGATAACACAAATGCAATATTGACATGCGCCTCCATGTGCCGGCTCAAAGCATCCTGTGATACTTATTACAGTTTGTATTTGTATAGCGGATTGGTGGTGTGAAGCAATCAGAAAAAGTGCATAGGTCAACTGAATCAGAAATAATTACATCCCATGCAAACATGCGCACGCGTGGCAATTGCAATATGACATGTCGCCTGGAGGACTCTGGCTCAGTGGTTGGGGCTGCTGGACCACAGCTGCTGGACTGGCGATTGCACCTGCACATCGTCACCACGGCGCATGGCAACGGGTGATCTCATCACCGCAGGTTCCCCGCCTTTGTGACAATGTAGCGCACCTGGGGCGATCCGACCTGACCGCTGGACAAATCTACAAACAGGTAGGAGGTCCGCTGGAATGTTCATGACATGATGCCTCTCCACCGTCCAGGCTGCTCGGCCCCCAACAGGTGAGCCCAAGATCACGGGGGCCACCATGATCACCGGTCTCGCCACGGCGACCTCAATGTCGACCACATGGCGGGTATGTGAGGTTTGTTGAAGCATGTTGAAGCTCAGGCCTTGTCATGACGTCTGGATTATCTGGATTATCATTGATGCACCGAAATTGTCGCCTGTGGTTATGATAGATTGGATCGCACCTGTGGTTGTGATTGGCTTCCTATCTACTTTGTTGATGACTGCAACATATTACAACCCTCTTGTGGAAATGCTGCGACATGGAAATGATGCAGGTTTTGGACCACAGCTGGACTGGACTCAGGCTCCAGCGTAGCTCGGATGGCCGCAGTTCAACTGCATGGTCTGGTTGGGGGATGCCTGACCCGACATGATCGCTTTTGGGAGGGGATTTAGATCAAATCAACATGATTTCATGCTGTAATATTTCACCTGGAAGTACATAGAAGGGAAATCCATGTGACTGCAAACCCATCCAATTTCATGCAGGTTCATCTCTTGCACCCGGAAAAGGCATGGTCTTGACATGTCATGCCATGCTTAAGGTGGACTAACGAGGACTAACGTAGAGCATCGGTGAACAAGCATCATAGATTCTGGCCTTGAGCTTTTGTGAGCCTGGCCCATCACACCCCGCGCCTGGAACATGCTGAGCAATGCGCTGGAGGTGAAGGCTTGTGCTAGTGCTATGAAAAA